GAGACAGGTTTAAAACTAACAAGAGAAAGTACTTTTTTACATATACATAGTTAACTTGTGGAACTCAGTGCCACAGGAGGTTGTAGAGTCAGATACCATAACCAGATTAAAAAAGGGACAAGACAAATTCATGGATGACTAGATCTATTAATAGCTATTCAACAAAAAAGTCGAGATGTTTCCTGTGGTATCTCTATACCAATGACAGCAGATGCCAAAGAGGCTAATAAACAGAGGATAGATTACTGTAAATATACTCGGTTCAGTTCTGTCCCTCTATAGCATCCACTCCTGTCACTGTTGCAAAAAGAGTACTAGGCTAGATGAACCATTAGTCTGACCTAGTATAGCACTTATTATGTTCTTAATATTCACACCGACTTTTCTCAGAATGGTGCAGACAAATAACTAAAATAGTCATATGCTGTATACTTGGAAAAAATCTTCATCAGGAGACGCTGCATTTCTGCAGATACTCATACCTACACTGACAGCAATAGGACCACTTTGGTCAAGTAGTTAGTTCAGAAATCTAAAAGACAGGATTAAAGATTTTGCTCCCAGTTTTTCTACAGACTTCCTGTTTGACCAAAGGGAAGTCATTTAATACTATGCTCTTCCTATTTGTACAATGTGCTTTTTTTTGTACAATATGCTTTTTTGTACTAATATGTTTTTAAGTTCTTTAAATGAAAAGCACTGCATAGATGTAATTAATGAAGGAAAATAATAGTGATTTTTAGATCTACATTAATGTTATAGATATAAACATGCAACTTGTGTGACTACAGTATATTTAGGGAATATGATTCCTCCTAGAACTAGTCTTCCCTGACTCATGAAATTGCTCATCCTAGCTCTGCATTTTTTAAGTATGGGAATAAAAAGTGGTTTAGGATTGTTCACCTCTTACTGTATGAAAGAAAGAGAAGTGGTTTAGTGTTGTTCACCCATTTTTTTTGTTGTTTTTCTGGAGGGCACTGCAGCTTTGACAGGCCTCCTGGGTCCAGTCCAAAGCTTAATCTCCCTACTTACACTGCAGCTCCTCTGCAATGTTTGTCTGTCATTCTTCCATCCATCTTTGTCCAGTATTTGGCATTGATTTTGATTTTCTGAGGGCAAAATGAATAATTTCTTATACAGGGGAATGGATGTGATTTTGCTGTCAGGGTGACAGTCCATAGTTAACTTGTGGATCCAAATCCCCATCTTGTACAAGTCATTCCTCTCAGTGGCAACAGACAGATTACCTGTTTCATTAGTGAGCTCTATGTTATCATTTCTCAGTTAGTATTAATAGGAGCTGATATAGTGACAAGACAGTATCCTTGCCTATTAGCCTTACATATTCTAAGGCTAGGGACAGCGATTCAAAAAGCCTGAACCTGAATTGATTCAATCTTTGCAGGTTAGTCTAACCTGCCTAGGCTGAACTAGTTTGTAACCAGACAGACATCCCCTCTGGACTGAGAAAATTCAGGCACGTGCCTGCAGCAGCTCAGGCTACAAGCTGGGGGGTGCTAGAGCAGCACAGCAATGAGATAAGGTGGGACATGGCCAAGCCCTGGCAGGACCTCTGATTAAGGAGGTCTGTCTGCACCGTCTCAGGCTTTTCCCCACTTGCTGCTTAAGGGGCAGGAGGGTTGCCAGCACCCTGTTAGTACCCTGAGGCAAGGGTGGGGGTATGCGGTGCATGCATCTGTTGATGATACAGAACTTTTCAATCTCCCTCCCTCCTTCTTTATACTGCCTGCAGCAAACTGACAGGCGAAGAAGCCAGCAGGGGGCTGATAACAGTGTTTATCACCCAATCAGCAAACCAATAGCCTCTCTCCATTACTTCAAACTCTTCTTAAATGGCTGAACACCTGACCTGTTGATTAGCTCCAAAAAGCCCTAAGTGGTCACTGTTCTGCCTGTGTGTCCCACTGAAAATGGAGACACACACACATCTGCAGTAGCTAGCATACCACATGCCTAGGGTCCGTGGGGCTGGGGTCTGTGCTGTGGAGATGGGAGGGAGGGATTTCCTGCTTGAGCAGCAAGGGGGGAGTGGGGATAGTGCAGGGGCAAGCGAAACAGGCCCTGCTGTGCCTGCAGCCAGAGCTCCAGCCAGGGAGCAGAGGGGAGGGGCCATTCCTGCTGTGGAGCAGAGAGCCCCGTTCAACCCAGAGAGCATGCCAGGATGCTGCAGGTGTCTGGTTTATCTTAAACCAGCAAGGGGTCTGGGACAGACATTGCATATACCAGTTTGAGCCAAATCAGTTAAGTCTGATATTACTTTCAACCAGGTTTATCTCAAACCAGTTTCAGCCATTTTCAAACTGGTTAATGTGCACTGAATGTATGTTCTGCTACAGGTTTAAACCAGTGTCTGATCATTTAAACCATTTTATGTGTAATGTCTGTCCCTAGCCCATAGCAACACAGTATGAGTAAGAGCTTTAGAAAGGAGGACCTTCCTTCTGCAGCATCAGAATTGAAGTTATTTTTGGAATTATAATCACTCTTAAATGTGCAGAGAAGAAGCACATGTCATCATTATAAACTAAAGGATTTTTACCTTTCATTTACCAGCTGTATAACATTTTTATTGTACCTTAAACATGCCACTGTCTCAGGACTGAATATTTTCTCTCTTGCACCTTACCCCTATATAGTTTTTGCTAGAAATCCATATTTAGGTAAGAAAAAGAAGCATTTTACTTAGTAATGTATTTTTGTTTCAATATGATGGAACATTATAACTCTGCAAGCATCAAGGATTTATTTCATCAGCATTATACGTACACACACATATACATTAGGGATATGAAAGGTTAAATGATTAATCATTTAACTGATAAGTGCAGTGACAACTGGTTAGCTTACCAATTATCCTTTAGCTCAGGGTGGGCACAGTGCTTATTCACAGATGCTCCCTCCCCCCCAGTGCAGAGCTTCACATGGGCTGTGTTGTCTGTCTGGGCTTGCCTCCTACTCCCCTCCCTCCAGTCAAAGAGCCCCAGGAGCCTGGAGCAGCTCCCAGCAGCAGCTGTGTCCGAGCTGCTGTGTTATTGGGTAATCATTTAACCCATATAATTAAATGAGGTTAAACTAATATTTTTTAACAGTATTTACATCCCTAATATACATATGTGTGTGTATGTGTACTGCACTATATATGATAAATCTTTTGATACAGAACTGTGGCCCTAAACAGTGCTTTGCAGCCTTAAAATCTAAAAGTGGTCAGCTAAGGATTCGTCGGATTTTCTGTTTGGCATAGAGGCATATTGGGTAAGTAGCCAGAGTCTCTTGAAGTTCAGTGATCCCTGGCTGCTGCAGCAGCCTCTGAAATTGTTCTAGGGATTGTGGGAATGCAAAGTTGGCTCACACACATCCTACAGCGTACAGCAGTAAAAATGTGAATTAGATTGTTGTTATATAGAAGTTCAAAAATGTGTTATTTATTAGTTAGGTGGCCAGTTCAGAAATAAAAACACCTTTTCTTTTTCTTTCCATTTATATTAATGGTGTGAGCCTGGGTTGGTGGTAAACAGGGACTCATTTTAGCTAGAGTCTATCATCTGTGTACTGCAAAGTAGCTATATGAGCTGATGAAGTTCTTCGTTGTGAACTGGAGGTGATAATTAGCATGCATCTTCAGTACCCTGTCACAAATTTTAGAATGAGCTTAGGGTATAATGAGTTCTGTGACAACCTTAGGGATATCCCAAATAAGTTACAGTCTCAGGGTGAAGTTACACATCACTCTTAGACCCCGCTAAATATGTAGCATGTTAAGTGGTGTTAAAGTTTGAATGTGCTGTGAACAGTCACATGTTGAAGATTCTTGTCTGTTTCTTGTGTGCACAGCTCCGGCTTGCCACTAGAGGGCTGTGGAACAGAAGCATAACTAGGAGCCAGGACACCTGGGCTCCATTGCTCATCTTATCTCCATGCAGCAGACTGAAGTTACCCTAACATGAGTTAGATACAGGCAACCCCTGCTTAACGCTGTTTCACTTAGTGCTATTTTGCTATAATGCTCATTTTAAATTGATACCTGATTTCCCTTAGCACTTAGTGAGTTTCGTTATAATGCTTGCGGTTGCCATCTTGGGTCATTAAAAAAAATTGCAATTGCCATCTTGGGTTGTCAAATACTTTCAGTTTCACTTAATGCTCGTTTCGTTTAACCCTGGGTTTTTCAGGAACCAATTAAGAGAGCTAAGTGGGGGTTGCCTGTAGTATGGTCCAGAGTTAACACTTGCCTGAAGTGGCATAATTTTAAGATGCTCAGAGGATGCTTAGTATGTGTTAATGAGCTTTAACATGTAGATGCTTGTGTTTTAAGTGCCCTTGGTATGGTCTAATATAATGTGTAACTTTACCCTTAGGTCCTGTAGCTGCTGACATTGTTAATGTGACTTTGGGTCAGAATTAGAAGTTAAACCATTGGAAATTAGGCTAGCATTGTGGACTGGACCTAGACTGTTCTCAGTGGTGGCAAATGACAGAACAAGGAGCAATGGTCTCAAGTTGCAGCAAGGGAAATTTAGGTTAGATATTAGGAAAAATGTTCTCACTAGAAGGGTAGTAAAGCATTGGACCAAGTTACAGAGAGAGGTTGTAGAATCTCCATTCTTGAAAGTTTTTAAAACCTGTCTACACAAAACCTTAGCTGGGGTGATTATAATTGGGGGTGGTCCTGCTTTGAGCTGGGGGTTGGACTAGATGACCTCCTGAGGTCCCTTCCAACCTTACTTTTCTGTGATTCAATAACTTGCCTATGATGCTATAGGATATTACTTAATCACACAATAATCACAATCACTAATTAAGTACAAGGTAATCACAACAATTTTTTTCTATTTTAAAGCCTTTTTGGACATTTAAGTCTGGCATTACATTCAGCTTTTCCACGACTGAAAATAAAATTCTGCTCTTGTAAATAGATATATTCAATACTTGCAAATAAATGATACGTGAATATTTTTAAACATTTTTTCCTACAGAGCTGGATAGTGCTGAGGAACTGGAAAAGAAGCGTATCTGCAGAATCATAACAAAGGATTTTCCTCAGTACTTTGCAGTGGTTTCACGAATTAAGCAAGAAAGTAACCAAATTGGTCCTGAGGGAGGTGTCTTGAGTAGCACAACAGTGCCACAAGTCCAAGCTTCCTTTCCTGAGGGAGCTCTAACCAAAAGAATCCGAGTGGGCCTCCAGGTAACAAAATGTACCAGCCATTGTTATTTTAATTTGCAGAATGTTCTGCAATTGAAGTCTCCAGAGTGTAAGCTAAAAGTAAATTATAAGGCTATGCCAGATAGCTCTCAGTTGGAAAAGGCAATGGTCACTAGAATCAAGCTTGAGCCCAGGGTCAGGAAGAAAGAAACAGCTCAACTACCTATCTCCTGTTGTTCTCTACTTTCCTCTCACTCACTGCCTGTAATGAGAGCTGTTCTTCTGCCCCTCCCATTCACTGCCTGTATACTGCTCAGCTAAGTCCAGGAGAAGCATCAGTCTCTCTTAGGAAATGTCTAAACATCATATGGATGGAAGAAAAAGCAAAGGCTCACGGCAGTACCAGTCATCACCTCTTCCTGCCCTTAGACCACCAGTTCTGCACCCCAGCCAGGAGCTCTGTCAGTGCATGTGAACTATATAAAGAAGCTGCAGAAGCCCTGAAGATGCTGGAGAAGCAGCTGGTGCATGTGACACAATGGTTCTACACCCTTCCAGCTTCCACTGTAAGGGGATGTTTGAGAGTAGGAGCCTGAATGGCTTTCAGAGCTGCTATAATTAAAATGCCCTCACCCCTGGAGCATGTGTAAAAATGTCCTAAAACACTAAAAGGAGAAAAAAATAATATATTTCCCCTTTTGAAAAGATTCTGCTTGTCTAAAAAAGTTTTCTTTCATAACTTGAAATATTTTCTCTCTCCTCATAGGCACAACCAGTTCCAGATGAGATTGTCAAAAAAATCCTTGGAAACAAAGCAACTTTCAGTCCCATTGTCACTGTGGAACCAAGAAGAAGAAAATTTCATAAGCCAATAACCATGACAATTCCTGTGCCACCCCCATCAGGAGAAGGTGTAACCAATGGGTACAAAGGAGACACCACTCCAAGCCTTCGACTTTTATGTAGCATTACAGGTTAGAGCAGAATATACTCCATGCAAGAGTTTCTTTAGTAGTAATGCTTCCATTGTTTTACATACAGCAGGTGATGAGACAAAACTCAGTGAAGTCAATGAAAACATTCCATTTCATTCTGTGGTTTGAATCTAGCCATATACCAGGGGTCAGCAACCCCTGGTTCATATGCCAGAGCATGGCACATGGCAACATTTTTTGGCATGCCAGCCCTCAGGGCAGATGGTGGGGGATCTGTGAGGGGCCTGATCCTTCTTGTGGCAGTGCAGCCTCAGCCACTTCCCCACCCCAAGGCATGCATGCACCCACCACCAGCAATGAGCTGGGCCAGGGCCCTGTGCAGCCTCTTGCAGCCTCCCAGTTGCCTGCCACAGCTGCCCTGGGCTCTGGGCAGGCCCCTGCTGCCCAACACGGAGTGCTAGCAGCTTGTAGCAGGGGGTGAAAAGGCTGCAAGCAGCTGCACCAGGTCTGTGGAGCCCCAGCCTGGCTCGTTGACAGTGACAGGTGCCCCCACATAGGGAGTTTTGGTGAGTTGTTGTAACGGGAGTGGGAGGGGGGTGGGCTACTGACCCAGCCTGCAACAACTCATCAAAACTCTCTATGTGGCCCCTGGGCCCAAATAATTGCCCACTCCTGCTTTATAGCAACAACCATTTAATAACCCTTTATTAAATGGTCAATAGGAAGAAGTGTAATTTTGATAACAGTGTTTTTGGGGATGGATGGCGATAAAATGCAGTCTTCATTAATATTACTGAGAATTTTGCTGTTGACCCAGCTGAGCCACGATACCACCTATGACGATTATCTGGCTGCATTTGGATCATTTTCTATAAGATAAGTAAGGTATTACTGAGATGTATGAGAGGATTTGTATCTAGGCTCTTCATTTTATGTGTGATGCAAAGCAATTCAGGATGAAGACATCTTTTTGTAGTGTGTGAAAATGGATGGATGCTTGTGGTATATGTTTGGTCTTACATGTGACTTATTTTCTTAGGAGGTACTTCACCTGCACAATGGGAGGATATTACAGGAACCACTCCACTGACATTTATAAATGATTGCGTCTCTTTCACAACTAACGTTTCAGCCAGGTATAGTAATAGAAAATACCAAACAGACGCAATGCATAGTTTCCTCAAATTAAAACTGTTAAGATTTTGTGTTCAGCTTTCCATGATTCTTAAATATGGCAGATATAGGGATTATGGGCCAGACCCTTAGAGAAAATTGGAATAGCTCCATTGAATTTATTGAAACACTGTTGATGTACAACAGCTGTGTGTAAATTCTTTCCAAAAAGGTGTTTTGTTAGGACATAGTCTTACACAGCTCAACATTCCATCATCAGGAAATGCCATAGTTCGAGTTGCAAATAAAGTCTTTCTTCGTACGCATCAGGATACAATCTTTACTGATAGTTGCACACACTGTTGCACTACTAGAAGCTGTTTTCCTGAAAAAAAATCACAAAGTACAGAGTTGTTATTCTGAATTCTCCTTCATATCTCCTCCACATTTTTCATTATGCTGCTGTGTTTAGCTTCATGTGGAGAACAATCCTAGAAAACTGCAACTAAAAGGCAAATGTTTCTGAAAGTTTCAAGCAACTGACCTCAGGAAATTAGACTGCAAATGCTACTTAACTATAATAAATAATGTTTCTGTGCACCTTTTCTTTTTGTGACAGTACAGGATATACCTTGGAAAATTTCTCAGGCCAGCTATTGTAGAGTGGTTGCAAGTCTCAAACATATATATCACAATGGTTCACAAGTTCCTGAACCATGAAGCTGCCTTTAATTTTCGCCTTCAGTTCAGTCAAATACAAACAGGAGACTCTAAACCAAATTTATATATCATTGTTTAGCCTGGAGGGTTACTACATTCTTTTACTGTCTCTGCTTCTCTCCAGTCTTCCTGGATAGAGTTTTTGTCTCTTCTCCATTAGAGAAAGGTGTAATTACTTGCTGCTGGTTAGTTAATGAGGCTCATTTGTCCCCATTAAATTAGCTTTAACAAGGAATGCAGCTGCTTAGAGCTGATGAATTCCTACCTAGGCCTGGTCAGACTGAGGTTTTAGAATTTAGAGAGGTAGTTAGCCACTTTAGTCTGAAGTCAGGCAGAAGGCAGGGTAGATTTGTACCTTTTAGACTAACTAAATCTGAGATGTACACTTACAAAAGCATAGCCTTTTGTAAGTGGAGGGCTTCAGGGGTGATGTGTAGGGGGTGCATGCGGGTGTACATGCACCCCCTACAAAAAGGCACCACTGACACTGTTGGCAGTGCCTTTGAGTGGTCGCTGCTCACCACCCCACCGCCAACACCGCTGGTGGCATCTTCCCACCACTGACAGCACCAGCAGCATCTGCGGGAGCTTCCGCCTACCACTGCTGCTCTCCCGCCACCACCACTACACTCCTGCTGCCACTGTGCCCCTCCCCCCGCCTACTTTATTACATGCTTTGAAGGGACTGAAGGATTTTTTTGTAATGTAATGTAACTATTAATCTTACTGTTCCTGGGAATAATAGTTGGAGTCATAGTCCATTTCCAAGAGCTTGATTATATCCTTGCCTCTAGTTCAGATATATGGGTTTCCCCCATATGGTGCAAGGTGCTATATGGGCACGGGCCCCCAGATCTACACGTGGGATGACAGCAAGCAGCTGCGGCCAGCCAGTGATATGAGTTTCGCTCTGAACAGTTTGAGGTGCAGTTTCCCAGAACCCCTACACCTATCTCCTTGAAACTTGGTAGACTTCATGCCCTCGGAAGGGGCTACCATCCCTGCATTTTTTAATCTAAATCAGGCAAGAAATGACAAAGTTATAGGCATTTTCACAATTCCCCAATATAGCTTATGGGTGTAATGTTGAAACATGTCGAAACAGCAAAACGGTTGCAACAAAATGAAACAGAACAGTGCTTTGAAATTAAATGAAATGATGAAATGAAACACTTCAAAATGGTGAAACAGAAATCAAAATGAAATGGTGCTGTTTCACGCAGCCCTAGAAAGCATGAATAGAGCTCCCATTTTTTTGTGAGAATTTTTCTCCCAGAGAAATTCTCATTTCAATAATAATAATGAAATTTGCAACAAATAAAAAAATACTGTTTTCCAGGAGGAAAATCCAGTAACCATTTTTAGTAATAAAAATAAATTCTGTTTGGGGATAAATTTTGATTTTGCAGCTTTCATTTAAAAATGCGGATGTCAACAATGATTTTCGTCCCCACAAAAGAAGCTATTTTTGACTAAAAGTCATGTTTTGTCAAAATTATTGTGACAAACCTACATTTTGACTTTTAAAAATCAACAGCAACAAAAAAAAGAATTTAACTAAATCTTCACGTAAGCTCCATTAAAAATGATCATGCTGGTAAAGAGGATCTACCATGTATTTATTTTGGAATGCAGCACATTCATGATAATAAAATGCTTCGCTGATGGATTCAAATGTAAAAAAGATACAGAGCTACTGAGCCAAAGACATAAATCATAGCAAAGCATTGAATAAACTACAGATTAATTATTTAGTAGTCTGCTGATATTCTAATTGTTACCATGTTCCTAAGCTTAATCAGAGAAATTGACAGTGTAATATAGAGTCTGTAGGGAAGTGTCTTATCTCTTTGAGCAATTTAGACTTGTGGGATTTTGCTTTATCTTTCCATCTCTCTCCCAGTTTGGCCAATATTGTATTTTGGTGAATACTGATTGAACTCAGAGTAGTTAAATGCAAGCCATGGGAGCAAGATTGAATTTACCTAGTGTTTAGCCACAAAATACAAACCATCTCTTCAAGTTTGTACTTAAGAGTGCTAAGAATGAATATGTACAGGAGACACCCACATAAAGGACTAAAGATGCAGATGCTACCATCCCAGGCACCCTCTGAGGGCACATCTACATGTGCTATTAATGCACAGCAATAAACTCCACTGCATTTGCACTTTCTCCTGGGACCACAGCATGTTGAGCCGGGTCAGAGCAGCCCTTGCTGGCAGAAGGCCCAGGGAGTCAGCCTGCCTGCTCGGAGCTGCTTTGACCCAACTCAGTGTGTTACAGGAGGCCTGGCTGGGGCACGTAGGTGCTCCAGTGCAGGGCTAGCTGATGGGCAGTCCCCAAACTGCAGCACCCTTGTGCCCCAGCCAGCCCCATCAGTGTCTACACATGCGTTGCTGCACAGTAAAGAATTCTGCTGCAGGATAATACTTGTATTTACAAGTACTAACCTGCGGCAGAATTAATTTGTTTGCTGCAGTCTAATAGACTGTGTAGACTTTGATTTTATTGCAGAGCTAATTAGGCAGCTCCACAATATACATATCATGTAGATGTGCCCTAAGAGATCTATAGCTCCAATAAAATTGCAACAAAAGCTCCCATTATTGCTACCGAGAAATGTTCAGTCACTATATGAATCCAGAATGGCAGAAGAACATGGATTTCATTACAGGAATTGCTCTACCCCATGAAAATGTGTCCCCATTTTGCTTCATTAGTATTAGCACAGTTCTTTACTGCTGGAGTAGAGCTTCTGTTTAAAATTGTGTCCTTTGTTTTGTGAAATAAAATCTTTTTATAATGACAGTTGATTTACTGGTTTGTCTTTTCTTATTCAGATTTTGGCTTGCAGATTGTCATCAGGTACTAGAAACTGTGGGGCTGGCCACACAGCTTTATAGGGAATTAATATGTGTTCCTTATATGGCCAAGTTTGTGATATTTGCCAAAATGAATGACCCAGTGGAATCCAACTTGCGATGCTTCTGCATGACTGATGATAAAGTAGACAAAACTTTGGAGCAACAAGAGAATTTTGAAGAAGTTGCAAGAAGCAAAGATATTGAGGTATATTTCTAATTCATACAGACCTTCAGAGGTATAACAGGGCAGTTCAATGCCTGGGGCAGTCGCAACACATGGGGCATCTCCAACTGCTGTGGTATCTGTGGTGGTTGTGGAAGTGGCTGTGTTTTGTGCCTTCTCACAAAGGGAGCACTTGAGGCTGCTGCCATGGTCACCCTCTTCCCCCCTTCAGTTAAACTGCTAAAGACTCTTCTTTGGTGTGTGTGAGTAGCTTATGTTCGGGTTCCGGTCTGTAAGATGGGCAGAGTGCCAGGATCCCACAAATAGGATAAGCTGTATGTAGAAACTATTTGGAATCAGACCAATCCGAGAAAAAAGAGATTTCTATATCAGAGTCCCTTGACCTGACACTAGGGAGCAGGTTGCTAGGGAGTCAGGAAATGTTTCTGTGGAGCAGCTCTGCTCACCCATCCCAACTTGGTGGATTGGATTTACCTCCTCCTTGTCTAAAAAGCATCTCCAACCTTGAGTTGAGTTTCTCAGGTTGGTCTTGGAAATGGAAGGCTTTTGCAGCAAAAAGTAATACGACTAATGGTAAGAGACAGTATCTATAGTTAAAGTTGTACTGTAAAGTTGAAGCTGTATTTTAAGCATTGTTATATCTGCAGTTGAAGATGTATTTCTAAGCAATTTGACTCATTAGAATTTTTAAAAATTAATTGTAATGAATCTACAGTATTTATAATGTCATTTAATGCTACTGCAAAATTAGGTCAGTGTTGAACACAGCGTAGTTGATGAGTTTCTATCTGAACAAACAGCTGCGAAGTGGGTGGTAATGGTGACATGAGCTGTATCGCACAAGAATCATTTTTCTGACGTTTAACTTTCTCTTTTGTTGTTTCAACAGGTTCTGGAAGGAAAACCCATTTATGTTGACTGTTATGGAAATCTAGCCCCTTTGACAAAAGGAGGGCAGCAGCTTGTTTTTAATTTTTATGCTTTCAAGGAAAACAGACTGCCATTCTCTATCAAGGTAAAAGTAAATCCACAAGACCAATTAGGCTGAGAAAATGTTTTTTTCTAATGTAACAATAGTAGTTCTGTCTAATCTGCCTCAGGTAGATGGCCATGGAGAGAGTCTACTGATGATTTTTTTGAAGTTACAAGAGGGAGTCAGTATCAGAGTATGTGTTCACAGCCCTTTGACAGAATCCTACTCTGGTACTCTTTATCCACACTGTGTTTAGTCTCAAGTGGCAGATCACTCCAGTGAGCAAAGAGATTACACATCCAGTATCATGTGTTTGGATGTGTAGTAGGGCTGTGCAAAATTTTGGCAGCTGTTTAATTACGGAGATGTTTTGGCGCCCAAAACACTGAATCGGAAATGAAACAGAAGCCTCCAAAACATGTCCGAAATTAGATTAAATCTTCCAAAATGTTTCAGATGTTTTGGAATGTTTCAGAGGTGGGCTTGTGTGGAAACAAACTCAGAATTGGGAGGGGGAAGAAAGAGGGGAAAGGACAGCTCTGATTGACATCTGTAGCTGATCACTGTCTGTGATCTGGGGCCAGTGGCAGCACCAGTGTTCCCAGAATTTGGTGCGGGGTGCACAGAGCAGACTCAGGTGCTGCCGCTGGCCACAGCCCTGCACATGGGGTGACAGCATGCTGCTGGAAAAGGTTATGAGTTTTTTGCTTTGAACAGTTTGAGGTGCACTTTCACAAAACCCACTACACCTATCTCCTTGAAGCTTCACGCTCTCAGAAGGGGCTACCATTCCTGCTATTTTCATCCACATCAGGCAATAAATGACAAAGTTATAGGCATTTTAGTGATTCGCCATTATAGCCTAAGGCTGAAACACTGAGTAAGCGTCAAAACTCCAAAACAGATTTGGCCGATTTGAAACAGGACAGTGATCTGAAACACCGAAATGAATCACTGTCTCTCTGTAATGCCAAATCTGAAACCAAAATGAAATATAGCTGTTTTTCACAGCCCTAGTGTGCAGCTGATCTTACCCTGCCAACACAAGCATGCACATACATATGTTACATATATGTAAACAACCAATTCACATAATAACACTTCACCAATTTGAGCATGCAAATGAAAGTATGATCCTTTTTGTGAGTGCAAGTAATCACATGTGGAAAGCTGGACAGAGAGAAATTCAGGTTATTCACAGGAATATTACTTCTTGGAATGATGTAACTCAGGTTGGTGTTTTCTTAGAGGCTTGTTTTTAATCAAACTAAAAATCCTAAAATGGCCTAATATTTAGGCTGTGATTATAATTTTCTTCCCCAGAAAGATCTTCTAGTTGAGTCCTGGCTCAGTTCCTTTAGCCGTCATTTGGTTTCATATTAGGTGACTTTTCATGAAAAGGAACATTTTGTGTGACTGTACAACCACCTCTTCCAGCTGTCTGATCTACTTTGATGGGATTCTCCATGAACTCACCCCCTCTGTATTGGAAAAGGAGTCAAGCACAGAGAGTGTTCAAATACTCTGGTTCAGAAATCCAGAGTATATTAAATGTACAAATAAATATTTCAAGTATTTCTGGGTCAACTAGTACAATACCTTTTTTTAGATTAGAGACACCAGCCAAGAACCTTGTGGTCGTTTATCATTTTTGAAAGAACCAAAGACTACAAGAGGACTGCCACAAACAGCTGTTTGCAACTTGAATATAACACTACCAGCACACAAAAAGGTATTTCTTCCAGGACTCTAGTGTTTAGTTGTTGTTTTCTTTTTTATTTAACTTTTTTTTCTATTAATAATGAAACCTTGTGAAATGAAAATGCTTTGTGATATGATTAAGGCTTTTGAATTTATGCTTCATTAGTTTTTGTATGTAATATACTTTTAAGTCTCTTGTTACTGTGGTGTCAAGTTCCTTTGATTTTATGATGGATCCTCTGTTTATAACTCATGTGTCAGCTTACAGTTCACAGATTTTTATGCTTTCCATAATATCATGTGTTGATTTGCATTGGATGTAAGATGTTTATTTCTTTTATGTTGACATTTTGGGTTTGCTTTGCCTTATAAATCGGCTTGCATTTTGTGTTCCCAACTTGGTCCTTTTCATATCCTGATATTCTTTTCCCTGCTGTCCATTATAATATTCCTTGTCTCTGCAATGCATCTTGGGACCAAAAGGAAACAGAGTCAGATCAAGATGATGAGGTAATATAAACACTGTCTTCTGTTCTTATTTTCTCCAGAAGTAGTGCAGAAAAATAAATATATTCTAGAAGAGCACTACAATAACTTTTAACGATAACATTGAATAATAGTACTGACTATACTCCATATGTCTGATGTTTCTGTTGTCAAGGATTACAAGTGAAGGCATGTGATGAAGTAGGATTTTATGCTATAAAATTACGTGTGTGTGTTAGTTTTCTGAATATTATCTAATTTTATACTAAGAGCACGATGTAATTAATTAACAAGATACAAGCTAAGTTATTCCCTGCTGGAGGTAAAAGCAGTAGTTACAACAGGGAGGAATTTGGGTACATATGTTAATAACTTTCAGTCTTTCCTTAATCTGTATTTCTGGAGATAGGTGAACAAGGCATTTACATACTGACACATTATATTTTTATTCCTCAAAATAACCCCAACTTTTTGAAAAAGTGAAATAACTAGGAGTAACAGCTAATTATTTTATATGCATCTATTTTCAAATAAACTCTAGATATCCATAGTTTAAAAATCTATACTTTACCAAATACATTAACAAAAAATATGTGAATATACATTTTATAAGTATAAAATAGGATAGAATGAGTTTTAAAAGTGACAATAGAAAAAAATAATTTAAAAACCCTTCAGAAACATTTTAACTATAAACAGATTTCCTGTCATTTCAAACTGCTGATAGTGTTAGCCGTCTACTGACTAGAATCACATGAAAGAATCCCTACATTTGAAAAAATAACTATATCAATTGGTTTTCACATGACTTGGTGAGTGATAGTTCCCCTTTCCAAAAAAGGAGCAGAGTCAAGAGACCTGATTTCTCTGAAGACCTTTTAAATTAATAAATAGAGAACCAAAAATGCCACACTAGCTGCTATGCCATTGGAAACAGTAACTTCTGATGCAATTTAGTAATTTAGCAATTGTATTCTGCTTTCTAATATGCACTTCTGCATTTTGTGCCTATTAAAATAACCCCCTTCATGCCTTTTTTCTGTCCTGAATGTACTCACTTTAAAGCAAATGTACATTGTGGTGTATGTGCTTTCAAGACAAATAAATTTGGGGGAGAGAGATTTTTTTCAACCTAAGTTATACTCTTATTAATGTTTTATGTCCATATCTGTAGTCTTTTGTCTGGATACTTGTGTTTGTAGCTAAGCTGTCTTATTTTATAGAGGGGGAAAAATCATATTATTAAGTAATATGAAAGAGAGAATTAAAAAATAGGGGGATGTTATAATTTTGATGTAATATGTGGCTAGATTGTGACTTCAGACACTGCCCTAAGATGAGTGTGGTGTGTAAACTGTACTATTACAATACATACCTGAGAGGCAGGGTGCCACATTAGCATCCCTCTGAACCTCTTTGCATTTCCTGCTTTTGCTCTAGAGGGGTAGCAATTTAATGCAGGTTTACACCACCAGCAAAGTACCAGCCTTTCATGCAGCAGTGGTGTAAATAGGAATGGAGCCAGTCTTGGTCCATTATCCACCTCCCTGCTCTAGAGAAAGGCGATCACATATCCTTGCTTATTCCTGTGTGCCGTTATGAAGCTGCAAGGTTGCATCCCAGTTCCATTTTATGGCTGTGAAGTCCGAGAGCTAGCCCAAAGTATGCAGATTTTATTTTCAACCTGAGCAAGCTGGTAACAATGTTTCTGAAGGTACCAAATAGAAGTGTGTTTTGTTACAGACGGAGAAAGCAGACCGGCGTCAGAACTTTGTCTCTCTTGCTTTACGTAAGCGCTACAGCTATCTGACTGAGCCTGGAATGAGTGAGTTACCATTGCAAACCTACTAATCACAAGCACAACTATGATAAGAAGAGACATTTTTTCTATAAACGTATTTTGGTGTCATTTAAAAAAAATCGATAGAAAAATTAGCTACAGCAAAACCCTCAATGGTCTCCTCTGTGTTGACAGAAAACTGGAGAAAACTGACTGGCAAGCAGTTGCTCTCTCTAAACCAAAAGTAATCAAAAAAGCCATATAACTCCTTGGATACAGCAAGGGGAACAGAATTGCAAATTGCAAACTGCGGTCCAAAATACACTGTTCCTCCTTTCTTTATGAGGCTAATTAAAGAAATTATCTGTTTTATAAATGATGCACTAAAAATAACGATGTGCACAGACCATTCAAATATATTATAAAATGTTTGAATTTTTAGCTAAAGTTCATTTAAACTCTCATTTTATTTCTTTATCTTTTCTTTTGCAGTGTTTCATTATTTCCCATTGCCCCATCATTTTCTTCTCTTCTGCTCACTTCCCTTTGACATGATCTTAGATCTAGCCCTGTTTCCCCTTTTAAATACACTATATCTTCCCAAGCTCAAGCCTTAATTAATTTCCCTCCCTTCCCTTGTCAGAATTTGGCCCTTTGTCCTCCTTCACAGTCTTTTCCTCCTCTTCTCAGACCTTGTATCATCACAGTCACCATCTCCCAATTGACATTTTGATATAATTTCATAAAATCTATTGACAAATATAATTTGCTCTGCTAATTTCCACTGGTTGGATGCTGAGTAATGATCTCATGAGCTCTTAGGCTTCTTCAGGTTGGAGATGTTCCAGCCTATACTGTATTTCTCAAACCCTGAAGAAAACCCGGAGCATATGAGATGTAAGACCTCACCCATCCATAAGGAAACTACTAAACCAGCTGGGACCTCACAGGAGGCTCTGAGATATTATCCAAAAATTTGGGGAATGAAATGAACCAGTTTTGGGTAAGGTATTAATTAAGAGTTTGAAGGATGGATAGTTTTTTCAATTGGTTTCTGAAGATTAATTTAGAAACAAAATGTTTATATTATTTCACCAATGATTCTTCATGTCTCAATTACAAAAAAGTGAAAAAACCGTAAATGAAGTGGAAAGCCAAGAATGAAAGAAAGATTGAATAAGGTATAAGAGCCTCTGCTCATAATTTTGATGCACCAGCTTCTACAGATTTGCAGAATGGTAGATGATTGTGCCCCCAAACATTTGACTCAGATACGTTTTCTTTGTAGTCTGGAAAAGAAAAGCTGTTTTTCTTTACTTTTACCCTTCCATCGTCACCTTCAAAGAAGGGTGTTTGAACTCAAAAATCAAGACTAGCCAGCAGACAGAAAACTTCAGAATTGTGTAATGAGTAACCAAAGAAGGTAAAACAGTTTGTCAGAAGCTGATACTCAAGATTGTCCCCAGAGTGGATAAGAAATAATGCTATAGTAATAAGCCGCCTATGATATATGTTCCTACCACCCATTCTAGCTGAACTAACTGGAAGTACTTGGAGCTTTGCAGCAGTGATGTGGACTTGCAAGTAGATGGGGTATTTTGATACTGGCTTTGTTTTGTTCTTCTTTTTTGCTCCTTACTCTGCTCTGCAATGACATGTGGAGCATCACTTTCTCCTTCCTTACCTCCTCCCCTGGTTGCTAGAAAAAGAGGAGATTAGATCTGGACCTGGAACTGTTTTCCTTGAAGTTGGTGATATAACTCACTGCTGATTTAAGGAGCAACACATGTTAGACTTTTTCCTTCCCACTGCTGCTGGAGTCCATGGGGCAAGTAAGAGCAGAGAGGAGAGCATGGATAAAAAGAACATTTTGCTGTACCCAGTACAGGTGTATCAGGCAGAATAGGGAGCATTCCTGTGGATTGTAAGATGTTCTCCAGCCTTTCTGTTGACTTCAAGCAGAACCTGGATTAGAATATCACTGTTTGGCAGGCTTGCATTTGCTCACCCACCATTTTCTTTCACCAGTACCAAGTGAGGAAGTGCACGAATAATACTTAGCAGGCAATCAAAAAGTAGTGAATAACCATATATCCTAGTGAAGCCTGAGGCTAAAGGGCAAGTGCTTCTTGTACCCAGAATGTGTATGCATAAAAATAACTGCACAGCCTAAAATACATGCTGTAGACTCTTAGAATAATTGATATACTTCCTTTTCTTTAAAAAGGGAGTAAAACTGTTTATTTCTAGGTGATCCAGGTATCTCAATTTCTTTGGCTGGTAGTCAACCAGATTGCTTCCTTCATCCTGTCCTTTTTCTCAAGTACTGTGTGAAATACAGGCAACACATTTTACTATATCTAAATATATAAATTAATGGAAAGATGAGGAAGGAGAAATTACTATTGGATTTATTGCCTCACTAAATTGTAGTGCTGGGATTGGTACATCTCAGCACACCAAGAGCCTGTTACAGCAATATAAACTCTAGAACAAATTGGTTTTATTTCATTAGTGCATTTTGGTATTGTTCTGACTTAGTATTTTTGGACTTGAGACTACATGAACTTTTGGTGAACCTTAGCAGCTGCTCCTAATAAATCACTCTCCTAGTCTAGTTTATTTAATGAAGTTTTTCAATGTGGGGGTGTTCAAACTGTATTTTTTTAAATGCTTTGTAAGCAGTATGCATCCAATGACTGTCTTTTGGAATACAGTCTGTGCCAGTAGTATTCAATATTCAAGAACTCTTTAACCTAATTGTTCTATTGCCATGATGGGCTCAGAACACTTTCTGCTTACAGGATATGAGCCTTTGATGCACTAAACGTCTTTTTTTTAGAGAAGTTTGTGTGATATAAGTTTAGGATTTGAATGTAAGTCTTACTTGGCTTCATAATGAATTTTGTCTGACTGTAAGACAGACGAAACAGGTTTGATAAATTATCAGTATAACATCAAACAAAGGCTTGCTGAACAAGTAGTTTGGATATTGTAGCTCCATTTCTAACTGGTGCTTCCAAGTTGTTTTCCTCTCTGTGAAAGAACTATCTGAATGTTATTGCTGTGACAGAGGATGTAGATGCTGTAATGTTATTCCCAGAAATACTGCCTTCTGGACTGGCTACCTCCAGCCAGTGACTTGAAAATATAGTTGTCAGCAATGATTTGGTTAGGAAAACCTGTGAATAAGTTGTGCATTTTGCAGATGCTTATGGTCAATAGGTTTGTCCTTGCCAAATCATCTCTGTTCTTTGAGTGTTTTTCTAATATTACCTTTTGAGAAATGTAAAGTTGAACAGGTCTTTCTCTAAGCTGATACAGAAAGCTCAAAAGGTATCAAGACACACTACATCTTGTAGAAAAAGTGTACTCTTCTTTTAAATGCCTCTTGTGAAAAGATTTTGTAAGGTTTATATATTGTGTATAATACAGCATAGAAAATGTGTCCCTCCATGTGCTTGATTTGACATGATATACTCTGCATGGATAAAGTGTTTTAGTTGCTTTGCTTGCTCACATTTATCATAAATCATATTCTCCATTTTTCTTGTGTGATAAATGCTTCTTATAATCATTTCATGTAAAGTTTTGGTTTAGTTTTACTAAATGAAAGGAATATCGCATGAAAAAACAAATGCAAAAGGTTCCTTTTTATTTTTTAAATTTCAACTCAGAAAAGTTCTTGCTCTTATTGGCTTTGTGAGCGTGAAGCATATACGAATTGTGCATGGGAGATAAAGATTTGAATTTATTCTAGCTGCTTCACAGTTTGCACATCAATTGCCTGTCACTTAAAGGTATTTTGGGTTCTGCATGAAATAGTTTGAGTGGTTTTCAAAAAAGATTTTAGCTATTTAATGTCATTCTGCACAAATTTACATTGTTTTATATAGGTGCACTATATGAACAGAACAATAGAACAACAGAAATTCCTAAAAGGATAATTGTAGTAGTTGTACAAAGCAAAGACATACCTATACAGGCAAAATGAAGTCACATTAATATTCCAAAAATAGCACATCAGAAAGTCAATGGGAAGTAAGAGAAGAATTTTTTGTTGTGGTTATTTTTTTTTATCATTATGCATTCCTTCTTTATGTCTGTTTTACATTGTTTGCGGACTTGGTTGCTATATGCATTCTATTCTTTCATTTCATGTTGCTTTTTATTTTGGCTCATTCCTATTCTTTCTTTTTCAATTGTTCCTTTTACGTATTCCATTCTAATTCATACAAACAATTGTACTTGCTTTTTGTAATATTACAACGTTTACTGACCAATTTTCTTCTCTGGTCTCTCTGTTTTTCAATCATTTTTGTTGATTTTATGTTTGATTTTGATTTAAAAATTTAAGAAACAGTTGAACGGAATTCAGGAGCAACAAGAACCCTACCCGCTACTTATTCATACAAGCCATTCTTTTCAACAAGACCATATCAGTCATGGACAGCAGCTCCAATTACAGTGCCTGGGCAACCCAAATCAGGCTTCACTTCCCTATCAAGCTCTTCCTCTAACACTCCTACAGCTTCCCCATTAAAATCAATATGGTCTGTTTCTTCTGCTTCTCCAATCAAATCCACATTAGGAGCTTCTACTACTTCTTCAGTTAAATCTGTTAGCGATGTAGCATCTCCAATTAGATCCTTTCGGACAATTTCTTCACCAATAAAAACTGTTGTATCACAACCTCCATATAATATCCAAGTTTCTTCTGGCTCTTTCATCAGAGCTCCCACAGTAACAGAAGCCACTAATTTAAAAGGGCTGGCATCCACTTCAACATTTCCCTCTCGGACATCTCCAGTGACTACAGCAGGGTCTCTTTTGGAGAGATCATCCATTACCATGACGCCTCCAGCATCCCCCAAATCAAACATTAATATGTATTCTTCAAGTTTGCCATTTAAATCAATCATCACATCAGCATCACCACTTTTATCTTCTCCTCTAAAATCAGTGGTATCTCCTGCTAAGTCAGCAGTTGATGCTGTTTCATCACCTAAAGTCATGATGACTTCATCTCTCTCATCACCTGTGAAACATGTAGCTGGTCATGCAGATGTAGCATTGGTTAATGGATCTGTGCCACCTCTGAAATACCCTTCCCCTGCCAGTTTAATAACAGGATCCAAAGCCACAGCCACATTTCAAGACAAGATCTCTGCAACTACGCATTCTGCAAGTTGTGCTGCCATTGCAGTTGCTGACACAGTTGAGAGAGTGTTTTCAAGTACTACTACAATGTCATTTTCTCCAGTCAGGTCGTTTGTGTCTTCAGCACCATCAGCTTTTCAGTCAATAAGAGCTACTTCTGCAGGTGCACTATATACATCCCTTGGATCAATATCTGCAACTACCTCTTCAGTAACTTCATCAACAATAACAGTGCCAGTATATTCTGTAGTCAATGTTTTGTCAGAACCAGCATTAAAGAAGCTTCCAGAGTCATCTTCACTTACAAAATCAGCAGCTGCATTATTGTCACCTATTAAAACATTGACTACAGAGGCACATACACAACCCCACTTTAGCAGAACTTCATCTCCAATAAAATCTTCCTTATTTTTAGCACCCTCTGCTCTTAAGTCGTCCACACCATCTTCTTTATCCTCTAGTCAGGAGATATTGAAAGATGTTGCTGAAATGAAGGAGGACTTAATAAGGATGACTGCAATATTGCAGACAGATGTAACAGAGGACAAACCATTCCAACCTGAACTAACTAAAGAGGGTAGAATTGATGATGAAGAGCCTTTTAAAATTGTTGAGAAAGTAAAGGAGGACTTAGTAAAAGTTAGTGAGATACTGAAAAAAGATGTGTGTTTAGAAAACAAAGGGTCATCCAAAGTATCAAAAAGTGATCAAGGACACTTATCTGAAGATGACTGGGTAGAGTTCAGTACAGAGGAGATTGATGAAGCAAAACAGCAAACGAAAACATGTCATCCTATATCTGTTCCAGAAAAAATGCAAATTAAAACTAAAGTCATGTCTGAGAAGGATTATAATTTGTCAAAAGTTATTGATTATTTAACAAATGATATTGGGAGTAGTTCACTAACAAACATAAAGTATAGGTTTGAAGAGGGGAAAAAAGAAGGTGAAGAGAGACAAAAACGCATTTTAAAACCAGCCATTGCTTTACAGGAACATAAGCTTAAGATGCCTCCAGCCTCCATGAGGCCTTCTACTTCAGAAAAAGAATTATGTAAAATTGCAGATTCCTTTTTTGGAACAGATACAATTTTAGAGTCTCCCGATGATTTTTCTCAGCCTGACCAAGACAAAAGTCCTTTGTCTGACAGTGGGTTTGAAACAAGAAGTGAAAAAACCCCTTCAGCCCCACAAAGTGCAGAAAGCACAGGGCCAAAACCACTTTTTCATGATGTGCCCATCCCTCCTGTCATTACAGAAACAAGAACTGAAGTAGTTCATGTTATCCGCAGCTATGAACCTTCATCGGAAGAGATTCCAGAGCAGCAAACAGAGGAGCTACCACCATCAAAACCTGCATCTACTTTTATGGAGTTGGAGCAAAAATCTGCTGGGTCTATTAAAGAAAAAGTTAAAGCCTTTCAAATGAAAGCCAGCAACAGTGAAGAAGATGACCACAAATGTGTGCTTAGCAAAGGGGTCCGTGTGAAAGAAGAAACTCACATCACTACTACAACTAGAATGGTTTATCATAAACCTCCATGTACTGAAAGTGCTTCTGAAAGAATTGAGGAAACAATGTCTGTTCATGACATAATGAAAGCTTTTCAATCAGGACGTGACCCTTCCAAAGAACTGGCAGGTTTATTTGAACATAAATCATCCGTAACATCAGATGTTAGCAGAGATGTTGAAACTTCACAACAACCAGCTGAGAAGGACAGCAAAATGAAACCCAAACTGGAGCATATAATAGAGGTCCATATTGAAAAAGGTAATCAAGCTGAACCTACTGAAGTCATTATTAGAGAAACAAAAAAGCGTCCAGAAAAAGAAATGTATGTATATCAAAAAGACTTACCACGGGGAGATTTTAACCTAAAAGATTTGGAAAAACATGATGTTTTTCCTTGTTCAGATGAACAAGGTCAGCAAGAAGAAGAAGAACTTACAGCTGAAGAATCACTTCCTTCTTATCTGGAGTCTTCTAGAGTAAACACTCCTGTGTCCCAGGAAGAAGACAGTCGCCCTAGTTCTGCTCAACTGATATCTGATGACTCTTACAAAACACTGAAGCTTTTGAGTCAACACTCAATAGAATACCATGATGATGAGTTGTCAGAATTAAGAGGGGAGTCTTACAGGTTTGCTGAGAAAATGCTTCTTTCAGAAAAGCTAGATGTGTCTCATTCTGATACTGAGGAGTCAGTTACTGACCATACTCTACCCCTTAGTTCAGAGATACAGGCGTCTGATAAGCGATACAGAGAAAAAGTAGCCACTGCCCCTAAAAAAGAAATTATCTCCAAAATCTATAAAGATGTATCTGAAAATGGTGTAGGTAAAATATCTAAAGATGATCATTATGATAAAGTGACAGTATTACACTATACTGGAGATGTTAGTAGTCCAAAACATGCCATGTGGATGCGCTTTACTGAGGACAGATTAGACAGAGGTAGAGAAAAGTTGATATATGAAGACAGGGTGGACAGGACTGTTAAGGAGGCAGAAGAAAAACTGACTGAAGTATCACAGTTTTTTCGGGACAAAACAGAAAAGTTGAATGATGAACTACAATCTCCAGAGAAAAAGCAACATAAAAAAAATGGCAAAGAAATGCATTCTAGTCAGAGGTCTGCCAGTAGCAGCCCTGAAAAGGTACTACTTACAGAATTACCATCAAGTGATGATTGGAGTAAAGTGAGACAGTATGGGCGCAATGGAAAATATTTTCCAAAATCTGATGAAAGAAGAACAGCCAGTTTGCCCAGCAGTCCTGAAAAAAGGATTTTTGTACAACAAATAGAGGACTGTAAACAAACTATGGAACACAAGGGAAATGCTCAACAGACTGGTACACCTGAAGCTTCACAGGCTGGATTTCAGCTCAAGCAATCAAAACTCAGTTCCATTAGACTTAAATTTGAACAAAGTATAAGCCCAAGGACCAAAGACCTACCTCAAGAAGAGAAAGAACAAGATAGTCAGTCCAAAATTCCAGTAAAGAAATTACAAGAAAGCAAGCTACCAGTGTACCAGCTTTATGCAAGAGAAAAGCAGGCAAAGCAAATAGATGTCACGGATGGAAACATGGCTTTGCAAAAAGAAATTACAATGAAAGAAGATAGCATCCAAGGTAAAGGAAGAGTTACAGAAGACCTTTGTGCTTCAGATGTACAGAAACAGAAAACTGAAACATCAAGCAAAAACATGCCAGAACATGTTTTGGAACAGCAGGCTAAAAACTTTTCATACAGCTCAGACTCACCAGTGAAGGGACACTGGGACAAAAAAATCTATAGAACTTGGGAGAGTCCTGGAGCTTCTAATCATAAAACACAGAAAGAAAAACACTCACATGTACTTATTCCAGATGTAGTAAAAGAAAACCATATTGATCATGCTGATGAGAACACTGAGAAAAAGAGTGAATTTATCACTGTGACAGAGAGTGAACAGAAATTGTCAACAAATGGATCTCATTCAGAGGAGGTGAAGGAAGTGACTGTGAAATCTCCATCAAAAAAGGTTCTGTACAGAGGTTATATCATCCGAGAAGGGGAATGTCCCAGTGAAATGGCTGATAAAATTACAAAGAGAAATGAAGAATTGACTATGTCCCACATTCCAGTCAGAATTGCTGAGAACACTGTTCTTGATCAGTCCAAAAGCACCATTTATGAACTGTCAGCTAAAGTGTCCCAGTCAACTATGATTAAGGAGCAAGTTGAAAGACAATTTGATTATGTGGAAGATGAAAAAATAAAACATTCAGAAATCAGTAAAGTTACCAAGCAACAAGGTTCTTCCATAGGGTTAAGTCCTCCTGGGGAGGAAACTGAAATATCCCATAGCAAATCACCTGATTCTTTAGAATTTACTCCTGGAAAGGAATCTCCTTCGAGTGAGTTATTTGACCCTAGTGCCAGTGATTACTTGGATAAAGTTTCACCTTTAGTAAATACTGAGGGAATGAAAGAGATAAAGACTTTACCTGTCTATGTCAGTTTTGTTCAAGTAGGAAAGCAATATGAAAAGGAGATGCAACAAGGAAATGTGAAAAAAATTATAAGTCAGGAAAGTAAGACAATACAAGAGACAAGGGGAACATTTTATACATCTAGACAGCAAAAACATCCTCCTTCTCCACAAGGTAGTCCAGAAGATGATACATTAGAACAAGTATCTTTCATAGATAGCTCTGGGAAAAGCCCTCTAACTCCAGAAACCCCCAGTTCTGAGGAAGTGAGTTATGAGTTTACCTCTAAAACACCTGACTCACTAATAACTTATATACCAGGCAAGCCCAGTCCCATACCTGAGGTTTCTGAGGAATCAGAGGAGGAAGCAGAGGCCAAATCAACCTCTAAAAACCAGACAGCAGTAGAGGAACCAAAAATTGATAAAATCATGCCTAATAATATAAACAAAGACTCTAACAAAAGACCAAAAAGTAACAGAGTTGCCTACATTGAATTCCCACCTCCTCCACCATTAGATGCAGATCAAGCAGAGTCAGAGAGGAAGCATCATTATTCCCCTGAGAATGAGGTGAATATGATCGAAGTAAATCTACAAGATGAACATGACAAATGTCAACTGGCTGAACCAGTCATAAGAGTACAGCCACCTTCTCCTGTACCACCTGGAGCAAATGTCAGTGATTCCAGTGATGATGAATCTCTCTACCAACCAGTTCCATTAAAAAAGTATACTTTTAAACTAAAAGAAACTGAAGATGACCAGAAGGAAGCCTCAAAACCTAAATTCCCTGAAAAGAGTGAGAAACAGAAAGAGTTAGGCCATCCTATTTCTGGGGTACCCAATGAGTTTGACATTGGTCTTGATTCACCTCAGAATGATGTGATGCAAAATGGGAACAATGACCAGTCTGTCACTGAGTGTTCCATAGCAACTACTGCAGAATTCTCTCATGATACAGATGCAACTGAAATTGACTCTCTTGATGGTTATGACTTACAAGATGAAGATGATGGTTTAACTGAGAGTGATTCTAAACTTGCAGGTCCTGCTGTAGAAACCAAAAAGGATATTTGGACTACAGAGGGCATCTTAAAGCAGACTGATCGTTGCTTCAGTCAAAGCAAGCTTGAAGTTATTGAGGAGGAAGGAAAGGTAGGCACTGAAGAGGACAAGGCACCTTCAAAAGTTCCAGCTTCTGAAAAGAGTTCAGATAAAACTGAACAGAAGTCAGGGGCTCAGTTTTTCACATTAGAAGGCAGGCACCCTGACAGAACTGTGTTTCCTGATACGTATTTCAGTTACAAAGTAGATGAAGAATTTGCAACCCCTTTTAAAACAGTAGCTACCAAAAGTCTAGATTTTGACCCATGGTCCAGTAATCGAGGAGATGATGAAGTGTTTGAGACTAAATCCAGGGATGATGAGGCTAAGCCATTTGGTCTGGCAGTGGAAGACCGATCTCAAGCAACAACACCAGATACAACTCCAGCCAGAACTCCAACAGATGAAAGTACTCCAACTAGTGAGCCCAACCCCTTCCCATTTCATGAAGGGAAGATGTTTGAGATGACTCGCAGTGGTGCAATTGACATGAGCAAGAGGGATTTTGTTGAAGAAAGACTCCAATTTTTTCAGATTGGTGAGCATACTTCTGAAGGGAAGCCAGGGGACAAGGGGGAAGGGGATAGTACAGTCACTGCCATCACACAGCCACAGTCAGGGGACAACACTGTAGAAACAAACCTAGAGAGAGAAGTAGAAACATCAGCAGTTGAACATAAGCCCGTCATCCAGGCCAGTGGAGATTGCATGGAAGCAACACTTGGTAGTAACTCACTGGAGAAATCATCAACAGCTGTTAACACTTCTAAAGTTGATCCCAGATTGCGTACACCAATTAAAATGGGAATTTCCGCTTCCACCATGACTCTGAAGAAAGATGGCCCTGGAGAAGTAACAGATAAGATAGACCCTGTGATGCCAAGTTGTCAGGGATTAGAAACTGAAAACATAGCAGTGATTACAAGTTCAGCTACTATCCAGACAAGCTGTAGGCAAACCGAGGTACATGATTTTCCAAAAGATAATTTTAATAACAACAACAATTTGGATTCATCCACTGTCCATACAAATAATATTGCCAGTAATGTAGTACTAAAAGAACATTCTGAACCTAAATGTTCCACACAGAAAGCTAATCAAATGAAAAGCACTTCAGGAAAAGGTGCAGGGGCAACGCAAGGACACAAAATAAGAGATAAGCAAAAAGTACTTGGAGAACAGCAAAAGTCAACAGAGTTGGTAGGAAGTAGAGCAAAATCAAAACTTCCCATAAAGGCCAGCTCAGTAAAAGAAGTCTTCCCACTAAGTAATCTTCAAAACAATACAGGGAGTAAAATGAGACGGGCCACTAAACCTGACAAAATAAAGCAAAACATTTCTGCTCCCTGTCTAGAAGTAAGATCTAAGATTCCAGTAAAAAATACGTATAGGAATAATCTAGCTAGAAAAACTCCAGCAGTGCAAAAGCAAGAGCAGTTAGAAAAAGGAAAAAGGAAACAGCTTCCTTCTAAATTACCAATAAAGGTAAGATCTACCTCCATCACAATGACAACAGTTAAAGTAAAAAAAAATCAGCTTAGGGAGGTATGTAAACATTCTATTGAATATTTTAAGGGAATTAGTGGTGAGACATTAAAACTTGTGGATCGTCTCTCTGATGAAGAAAAAAAGATGCAGTCAGAGGTGTCTGATGATGAAGAAGACAGTACATCAAGAAACACATCATTATCAGAAGCTACTCAAGTTTACCAGCCTTCCATTACATCGAAGTCTGCTAGAGATATGAGAACAGAGGCAGCATCTTTAAAATCAAAGATTGAAAAGGCCGACAGTGAGAGGAGGAGGAGTAAGAGGACTGGTGAGAATGAAGGCAGTCAGGTTTCTGGAGCTCTCGTGGCTCACCTCGTGGAGATCAAGCCTAGTTTGTAAAACTTTCAACTTGTTGATCCTAGTGCATGAACTGTTGTGATTGCTTGTGGAGTGATTTACCGTAGTTCTCATTCTGTCATTGTCATCTGTATGTGCTGTTGTATACTCTTCTTTCTTCCTTTAAACAAATTCTGTACTGTAGACAGATAGTGATGCATGCTAAAAATATTGTGTAACTCAAAACTTGAAAAAAATTCTTTTGTGATAGCAAAATCAATTTTGTCAAAGTAGAGAAAATAGATGTTAATCCAATCCTGGTGTTTTTTGCGAGTTCTTGAACAACTTGTGTACAGTCCAGTAACTAGATTGTCAGCATGTTTGGTTTCATTATACTACAACATCATGTAGCTTTATATTTGGCCTTACAGAGCTGAAAGTATAAATAACAGCTGTGGAAAGAAATGATTTATAGGTTATTAGAACACACAATCATTTGAGTAGACAACATGAACACCATCACCTTAGTAAGATTAAAATATTAAATATTATAATAAGCTATTGTCCAGAACTCTTTACAAATTTTTTCTAATCAAGAAATTGTAAATCACAGGTCCACAGAGTCCATGTGAGCGTACCGATATAAGGATGGCAATTGTAGCTGATCACCTGGGACTTAGCTGGACAGGTAAATTTTCATTGCGTCAGTAAAGTCAATCCTGAGATTTTACAGTCATTCCTTTTGCAAATAATCTTTTCTAGTTAGGCATTGTATGTCCTTTACAGATCAAAGGCCAGGCACCTTCAGGTTCTTTTGAAGTTGTGTGGCATTAATGGTACTGTGCATGTTATAGGCAGAGCTCTCCATCTCACAAAACTAGAGACTGTATAAACGTTTATAAATGTCAATAGAAATGTAATTGAAAATTATAATAACAAATAATTATGCCTTTTATTTAAAATAATTGAAATCACTTAAATATTAATCTCAAAATGATTGCCTGAAAGCAGAGATGTTAAAAATGTGGCCCAAAGAACCATTTCACATGGCTCATGGGGCTCTTTCAGGAGCCAGGAATTCAGTGGAGGTACCCCTGCCAAATTTCCAGGTAGGGATTCCTGTTGGTGATGCATGTCATTGTTTAGGTGACAAGTGACAACTGTCACTGCTAGGTCCAGATCTGTCCTTCAGATCTGGATGGAGAGGGAGGGGGGCATGGTTGAGTTTGATACTTTGCCCTAAAGGGTTGGGTCATGCCAGGGTCAAGAGAAAGACCATTGGTTTGGTCCAGACTGACATTCCCTCAGTTCCAGAATTCTGATTTTTCCAGTGTTGAGCCCCAGAAGTTTGGATACAACAACATCTATAGGTATTCAGCCCATTACATTAATTTTACTAGTTCTGCAGTTACAAATTGTAAATAAATGGAAATCTAATCCCCTCATAAGCTCACAGTTCCATTTGTACTATGTTACATGATTACAGTGTAGGTATAAATGATATATAGTAAGTCAATATGTGGATACCAAGTACTTGAGCATATAAGATTGTAAAAATCAGTGTGTGGTGACCTCTGCAGTGATTTTTTTTTTTTTTGCATGTGTGATGTGTTGCATGTAGATACAAAATCTTATGTAACAGGCCAATTATTACACAGATATGGTATGATTTTTTTGTTTCAAAATTAAAGACTGATACTTTAATACCTGTTGTTGTCATTACCCTATAAATGATCAATTTGTGTTATATTTTTGTTGATGTGAATTCATGTATGTAACCTAATAAAGCTGTTACTTTCATAGAATACACAAGATATAAGCCTGACATGATAATTACAATGTGTTTTTACAGTGTGTTTTTTCTTGCTTTATAGAACTGGCAAGGGAACTGAATTTTTCTGTGGATGAAATTAATCAAATACGAGTAGAAAACCCAAACTCACTGATTGCTCAGAGCTTCATGTTATTAAAAAAATGGGTTACCAGAGATGGGAAAAATGCTACAAGTAAGTTCAGAGCAGTTCTTTTTGTTGTTTATAAATTATACATGACTTCACATATTGTCATGTCTACAAAGTGCAACCTGTATATGAATGTGTATATTTTTTTGTAATAAGTACTCTCTGCATGTGTCTGCTGAAGTCCAAACTTGGTAGCGGGGTGAAATTCTCCAGAGGACAAATGCACCAGCCTTTATACCTGTTGGTTTTCACTCCACCTCTCAATATCTGGGGTGGGCTAGTGGTGTTCTGCAGAGATGTAATTCCATCAGCCAATCACTGTCCAGCAAAAGATGCACATTTCTTGTATGGGCTCCCCTACCAAGACCCATCTCCGATTCATTGAAAAGGCACTGGTTTTATTCTGTTCTGGTTATTTGCGTTTTATGGGGGAGAACTTTTTTTTCTTTGAATATCTTATGATATAACCAAAACAATGTATGAAATGTAAAGATGGCATGAGAGAGTGTCATGTACAGAATTGTTTTTACATGAGCAGTAACAAGATTTCACCATATCTAAATATGATCACATTCCTCATTCATTAGCCATATACTTAACAATCCTATTGTTCCTACAAGTACAGTGACATTTCTACAGATGTATTAAGCCATGCTAATCTGAAGTCAGGCAGAAGGTAGGGTCTAAGAGGCATGAGCTTTCATAGGCAGCAGGCCTACTTTTTCAGGAAAGGACTGGCAGAAAAAAACCCCTTTATATAGAAGGAAAAGGGGCAGGGACAGGGGCAGGGACTGTTGAGAGAGGTAATAAGTGGGTAGATTAGATTGAGATAAACAAAGTAGTTAAAACCTAGATGGATATTGGAGTTAACAGGTAATGGAATAAGAAGCCCTGGTCCCCGTTGAGACCATCATTAATATAATCAAGTCTGGATAATCTCTTCTTCTACAATTTCAGATTCAAGTTGGTTTTTAAAGTTCTGTTGTTTAAGGATAGCTAATCTGAGGTCATAGAATCACAAAACAGTAAGGCCAAAATGAACCTCCAGAAGTTGTCAAGTCCAACCCCCTGGGCTAGGGACGACATTACACATAAACCGGTTTAAGTGATCACAAACTTGTTTAAACCTGTAACAGAACATAAGTTCAGTGCACATAAACCAGTTTCAAAAATACTGAAATTTGTTTAAGATAAACCTGGCTGAATGTAGTATCAGACTTAACTGATTTGGGTCAAACCGATTTATGCAATCTGTCCCAGACCCCTTCCTGGTTTAAGTTAAACTAGAGTCTTCCAGCACTCCAGCATGCTTTCTGGGCTGGGTGGGGCTGTATACTCCAGACAGCAGAGCTGGCCTTTCCTTCTGCTCCCTGGCCAGAGCTCCGGCACAGACTGCAGACACAGCAGGGTCTGCCTGGCTTCCCCCCGCTCCACCCGCTTGCCGCTCAAGCAGGGATCCCCCCCCCCCTCCCATCTCCCACGGCCCCACGGACCCTAGGCATGTGGTATGCTAACTAATGCTGAGAGGCATCTTTGTTTCTCCAATTTCATTTGGACAGGCAAATAGGACAGTGTCCATTTAGGAAGCTAATCAACAGGTCAGCTGTTAAGGTCCCTCCTTTCTTCCTTGGAAAAAGCTGTTTCAGAAGAGCTTGAACTAATGAGAGAGGCTATTGTTTTGCTGATGGGGTGATAAACACTGTTATCAGCCCCCTGTTGACTTGTTCACCTGTCAGTTTGCTGCAGACAGTATAAAGAAGCAGGAGGAAGGAGATTGAAAAGCTCCATATCATCAGCAGATGCATGCACTGCACCCCCCACCTCCCCTTGCCTCAGAGTGCTAGCTTGGGGCTGGGGTCTGGTCACACTTCCGCCCCTTGAGCAGCAAACTGGGAAAAGCCTGGGACAGAGCAGGCAGATGTCCCTAATCAGAGTGTTCTGCTGGGGTCTAGCCATGCCCCCCTCAGCTCAGCACTCTGGAAGGGAAGGGAGGGCTGCTCTAGCACCCCCTGGCTTCTAGCCTGAGCCACTGCAGGCATGTGCCTACATTTTTTCAGTCCAGAAGGGATTTCTGTGCAGTTACAAACTGGCTTAGCCTAGGCAGGTTAGACTAACCTGCAAAGATTGAATCAGTTCAGGCTCAGGTTTTTTTTAATGTCTATCCCTAGCCCTAATCAAGGCAGGATCACCCCTATCCAAACCATCCCTGAAGTGCTTTTCATAACCTATTACTAAAACTACACAAACAATCCTGCTGCAAGACATATAAGATACATTGCTCAAAAACACCAATAACACCTTAATCTGCCACCAGTCAAGCAGGGAGATGAGGGTCTGGCAGTGTCCTGCCACTGCAAAGATTAGTAAAATACACTTTAGAAACACAAGGAATATAGCCAAGCCCCCACTATGGAGGAAGATATAAAAAACCCATGCTGTACATGCCAGTCTGATTGTGAGATAAAATTCCTACCTAATTATGTAAGTATCTGACCTTGAATGGAAGAGCAAGGCTCCCTAACCAGGAACTTACAGATTTTAGTTCCAGCAGTAGCAGGGGCACACCGTAGTCAAAATCCTCAGCTTTGGCTGCTAACAACACCCAATGTTACTGAGGAAGGTAAAACAGTAAGTAAATAAATAAAGATTTGAAAAACCTTGACATGTAGCAACTGGAGGAGGAAAAATTCCATCTCAACTCCATGTGACAACCAGCATGGGGAAAACCAAACACCTTCCATTCTGCTCTGCAAATGGGGACAGCAAACATAACTCTACATGCCACATCCCCTAACTGGAGAGCAGGACTTTCTGTAACCCTATCTCCTTCATAAACATTTCCTGCCCCTTTTTATGTTCTTTTGTAGCTAAGCTCATTGGGGAACTCTGCTTCCTTCTGCTGTTGATCATGGTCCTCTCTGGACTGCAGAACTTTTCTCTCAATCTTTCAGTGATCCATGGCAGGGAGGGTCTCACAGGTTTCCAACTATTGATTTTTACAGCATATCCAGGCATAGCTACTCCTAAACTATCCCTGAGCAGTGTTTATCCAATGTCGTCTTGAAAACCTCCAAAGTAGGAGATTCTACAGCTTCCATAAGCAGTCTGTTCTACTGCCTCACTATTCTAACAATGAAGACGTTTTTCCTGATATTCATTCAAAACCTAATTTGCCGCAAATTCAAACCATTATTTTGAATCCTATTTTGCAGTGGTGGGGAAAACGTGTTCTTCTTTAGCTGCATTACACTGCAGACTCAATACAAGTCTGTGATCTGCCAGGACTCCTAGATCGTTCCTTGTAGTGCTGCCATCCAGCCAGTTGTCACCCCTTTTTTTACCTGTGTTTTTTATTATTCTTCCTGACACACAGCACCTTGCATGACAACTTTATCCCATTGGCTTCAGCCCAACTTTCTCGTATATCAAAGATCTTTCTGAATTATGTTCCTGTCCTCCAGTGTGTTTCATGCCATTTGCAAATTTTCCCAGAAAGCTCTGTATTCCAGCATCCAAATAATTAATAAACACATTGAACTGGACTGGGCCTCAATGATGAAATGCCCAGGGAGGTTAAAGTGTTCTACCAGAGACTTTAGTGTGTTCTGGAACTAATGTTGAATTAGAGCCCATTCATTCTTTTAGGTAGGGATTTCCCCATCTGGCCAGTGAAGACATTAGAGGAACACCGTAAGCAGGTGATGGTGTATGTGACATTGGTAGAAAAGCAGGTGAATGAGCCCCCATGTGTGTTGCTGAGTCCAGTGATGATATGGTCTGTGTTGATGAGTGGCAAAACTGACACCTAGGTTTCTCCTATGCCTTTCCTGTTTCCTTCTGTATAAAAGTTTCTGTTTCTGCTATAAGTTGTTGCCTACGGAACTTTGTGCCTCTGTAGTAGCATAACTAGGACTGAGTAAGCAGGGCATCAGCCCCTGTGCCAACTATGAGAGGGTGCCAGAATCCCATAGCTCCCTGCCCCTTCCCCACTCCAGGAGTCTTTGACACAGTGCTGTCTTACACTGCCCTGGCCCAGCCATAGTTCAGAGAGCTGGTCAGCACACACTGCACCAAACTATGTCTGGGGTGAGTGGAGCAAACAGAATGGTGCTTCTCACCCCCCTTCCCCCAGGGAGCCTTTGCCAGAGCAAGCAATATGCACTGGGGGCACTGTATGCATTGGGGGCACTGGGGACTGGTGAGGGGCAGGGGGAGGGGATCAAATAGGGTACCAGGAACAGCTGCCAGGGAGTCCAGCTCTGAGGCTGCTGTTGCCAAAATGAATTCTGCTACAGCAGCAGAGGCAATAGCCTAGGCAAGTAACTTCCTTTCCCCTGACCCACATCTCCCCTTACCCCCTGCCAGTGGTCAGCATATCCATATCCCTCCCCACCCCCAGCCCAGGAGCTCATTATGCCTCTGTCTCTCTGAAACAATTAGTCCCTAAGGTGCCATGATTACTTTCTGAATGACAAATCTAGTAGAAGAATATTTGGTTTCGATAGTAAGAGGATATATTCTTTAAAACCTTCTGGCCTTAACCATTTATATTTAACTAGCAAATTGCCTGTCAAGAATGATGGCAGGGACAGAGGGGATGGAGGGGGGATGAGGCCGGTGCTTTGCCTCCACCACTCCATGCCACCATTGCGTCCAAAGAGCAGGGCTGGGGGTTGGGGGGGAAAGGCCAGCTGTGCTAGCCTCGCCCCCCCCACTCCATCCCCTCTCTGGCCCCATACCACACATCCCCTGCTCTATCCCCTCCATCCCTGCCATCATGGCGGCACTCTGTCCCCACTGTCATTCCTGATGGGCAATTCACCCTGCCTGCAGCACTGGCTGGAGCCATGCCCCGCAGGAAGACACACCCCCTAAGACCCATTATAGACAGACAGACAGACCGACAGACAGACAGATGGACTAAGCCTTTTATATATATGTATAGAATGATGTGATATAAAGACTCATATTGAATGGAAATCTCATGTAAGTATGCAGCAGAATGATTTCTTAAGGAAACTAGTCATAGAATCATAGGGCAAGAAGGGACCCTGAAGCATCATCAGGTCCAGCCCCCTGCATGAGTAGGAAAGACATCTGGGGTCAGGTGACCATCCAGTCTTCTCTTGAAGTCCTCTAGGGTAGATGATAGCATACCTTTCCAGATTTAAACTGAGGCAGAAATATAGGTCAGCAACTTTTAACATATCTAGTATGAATGGGACTGAGAAAAATAATTGGACAACTCATAATGGCAGATTTTTTTCTCACGTTTCTATCTTTTTTTTTTCCAGCTGATGCCTTAACCTCTGTATTGACAAAAATTAATCGAATAGATATTGTGACCCTGTTGGAAGGACCAATATTTGATTATGGAAATATTTCAGGCACCAGAAGCTTTGCAGATGAAAATAATGTTTTTCATGATCCTATCGATGGTAATTGAATTCTATGCCCATTTTTAATCCAATGACACATCTACTCATACAAGAAACCTACGTGAAATATACCTGAAATAAAAAGAGTAAATTAGGAAGGATTCATTTTATTTCATTTTAAGATATTTTCCTTTCCAAAATCTCAATTTTGCTACCAGCTTGAACATTTTTACTTTAAGTTTTAAAATCTCACGTGTGTGATAATCATACAAAAATGTCATATGTACTTGTATTGTATTCTCAATTTTCATTTCATGTAAGTTTTACATCTCAAAGCTAAGGGTCTGATCCTTGCAATACAAATATAAGTAAAGTTCTTCCCACTAACTTCAGTGTAGCTAAATGAGGACCAATGCCTTGTTCTCCTTTAATTCACAAATCAAGGATCATATATACACAGATCATACATACAATTAGATACTTGCTTATGTAATAAAAATATGTTTTGTCTGTAGTTTGTATGATACTTTCCCCAAATTACCTAAAAAACTATATTAATTGGTTTCATTTCCATAGACAAGACAGTAGGACATTTAAAAAAAGAAATAATTGGGTGTTTGGTAATGGCATATGGTAAAAGAATTTATGCTTTACCAACGTGTAACTTTTAAACAAATGAATTCCAGTTTTTCATTATTTTCATTTGAAACCTTAAGAAATTACATAATTTTCTATATTTACAATAGCAGCTTAGAAGCAAGAGAATGTTTAGTTTTCACATGAGAAAATATCTATTTCACTCATCATATTCAGTGAAAATATACAATAGATTTCACCCTGCAAATATGTAATGGAATTATAGAATAAGTTGCATTCATTATGAGTTAGATAGAAGTCAAGAACTGCAGGATAAATAGAGTTCTGATTTATGCAACAGAATTCCCATAAGCAAACTGTGGAGATACTAATTACAGTTACTTTTGTTGTTAAATGATTGATCTTTTAGATGCACTGAGGGCAGGCATTGGCACCTCATCTCTGATTTTGATCTTTGTCAGTCACAACATATTGTGTAGAGTTCTTTAGATAAGAATTAAATGCTCTTAGATGCAGTCTCTTCCTTTTTTATTTTATTTATACGTATACTGATGTCTTAATCTTTTCTCTTTAAATTAGATGAAGATTCTCCAATGTAAAGCACATAATTTCAGCATATCTCTATTATTAAGTAGCGTGATTGGTCATTGAATCATTGCATTGCATATATAATTTTCTGTTGACATTTTAAGAAAGTTCCTCTTGAAACGTTGTTTATGACTTTTAATGATAACAGCAAAGTGTTTTAGGGAGGAAATGTGCTTCTCTGCAGTTGCTTTTTGTCTCTCCTCCTCTCTTCTCTGAACTTGCCTCAAACTTCCTTTCCTCACCACGACCAGACCACGCTTTACCTTTCTCTCAGCTGATTCAAGAAAAAAATCTATAATTCACCTCCCTATCTAGACAGCACTTTCAGTTTAACCCTAAGACATTTCTTCCTTTTTTAAGCTATTGAACCTAATATTTCTTTGCTGGAGTATACATTTCATTGTCATTTGTTTGTGTATATTCAGTCTAATCCTTGAGAATGGTTTTTCCCATGTTTTCATTGGTTATCTTTTCTTTTCTTTCTTTATGTGATCAGTGTTTCTGATTGTACCCATGTCACCAAGATCGCTTCAGTCTCCAGGATCACCAAGATCTCCTTACTCACCACAATCCTGTCATCTACATAACTTTACTGTACCTGAAATTTTTATATAGATCTTCCCTTGTGATTTCTGTGTTTGCTAATCCTTTTGTTATCCTGCTTCTTTTTTAGATTTTTTTTCCTGCTGCATTTGAAAATCTCCTTTACTGTCCTCACTAAGATTCATTTGTATTCTTTATCCTTAAATCCATTTTATGGTGCAATGATTAAATTGGAGATACAGTGCTCCTAGTACACAGCTATTGCAAGTATGGTGTATTTTTTTAAACTGAGATATTGAAAATGTGGGCCTGTTCTAGAAAGATATTTGAAGAAATTGGTTGTCCTGCATTATGATCTACCTATTCCTTGAAATTATGGCGATTATGTTTGCAAGAACTAAAATAATAAAAAAAAAAGAAATGTTTATAATCTGGCTACAAAATACTATTTTGATATCAAAGGACAAACAACCCTATCCATTTTATTCATTTGCAGTCTCATACGGGAATGTGTTATAGCTATAAAATGTTAAAATGGCTGCAATTCAAATCATTAAAGGTTTACTGACTATTTTTTCCAAAATAGTCAAAAAGCAGTAGCTGCATTGGGCCAGTTATTTTAGCAACTCTATTTTTTGTTGCATCCATTTAGGACAAACCAGTAAATTACCAAATTTACATTCTCATTTTATCATACATTTGTCATTTTTTATATAGTTTATCAGTCATTTGACAGGTTTGCTTATTTGTTGCTCCATATTTCATTCCAGTCAGTCCAAATGTACTGTCTTCCTTAGGTTACCCCACCATTCAAGTGGAACTGGAAACTCCTACTGGGTTGCGCTTTGTGCCACCCACCCCTTTTCAACAAGATGATTTCTTTAGTGATATCTCTAGTATAGAGTCACCCCTTAGAACTCCTAGTAGACTGAGTGATGTGTTAGTAACTTCTCAGGGGAATATAGATGGTACAGCAACAGGACCACCAGTGGTGACTGAAGAAGACACAACACTGGAAGACAGCAAATTCAATTTTTCAGTGCCTAGAGAAGGAACAGTTAAAGATATGTCCACAGGCCAGAGCCAGTTGGAGGAAGTGGAACTTGATGATTATCCTCAGTATCTTGGTATTTATGCTGGGATGACGAAAGATGAGAAGTACTCAAAACAAATGCAGGGTGAAGAGCCTAGTCAAAGAGGAGTGAGAATTGAACAGCATGAGAGAGAAAAGTCTGGTACTGATGAGGAGATGACAGAAGAAAAGCTTAAATCACTATTTGAGGACATTCATCTTGAAGAAGGAGTTGAGTCAGAGGAGATGACAGAAGAAAAAGTATGGTCTATTCTTAAAGATGTTCAGCAAGCAGAACAGGAAATGTCTTCCATTACAGGTTGGCAGAGTGAGCCATCAAGTGTCAATGTTGAGCCACCAACACCAGGACGCAGAATAAGTGGTGAACTACTAGATCGGCTAGATGACAGGTAGGAGCCAGCTTATGAATATATATGTCTGGCTTCAATCAAGCCATCTCATGCTATTTTTCACCTCCAGGCAAAAATACATACATTTCTGAATAACTACAGAATTATGGAATTAGTTACATTCATAATTTAGTTTCTTTGTATTGTATTACATTTGTAAGTCAAGAACACAAACAAGCGAGTCCAAGCCCAGGAAAATAGAAGATAAAAAGTAAATACCAACTGTGGTTTGAGTTAGATCATTCTGCTATATCTTCATCTAGAAGTAAATGTTTTCACCTAATGCAGTAGCACAGCCTGGACTAGTCCTGCTTGCTATGTGCAGTGCATGCTAGCCCCAGTGTGGGGCTTGGAAATGAAACTGGCACAGGGTACACGCTGCATGAGGTGCTCATGCCAGAGCAGCTTTGTGCAATGGTTCCAAAGTATGGGGCCTGTCTGTGGGCCCAATCTGCATGGACCCAGGACTCTCTGGATTGGCCCCCATGTCATGTACTGTGTGGAGCATATGTGCCTGGTCTAGTCCCACACACTGCATGGAGCAAAAGCTGGCCCTAGCCTGGGGCTTACACTGTTGACTTGACACATGCCAGACCAACACTCAGGATCTCAATATTGTGCTGTTAGACAGGAGAGCATGATACAAAACTATACACACTCACTCACATACGAACTACACAAACACTCTATGGGTTCATACACAATTATATGCACATACATAAACACACAAACACACACTTTCATGGCTGTGTGTTAACACTAGGGGGTGTTTGGGGTAACTTTGTGCTTGGGGTTACTTGAGGTCAAGGTGCCCCGGGGTTACTCGAGGTCACCTGGTACTGGGGTGGAAACGAGGAAAAAAGCCCGGTGGCAAGGAGGAGACAGCCAGGAAACAGAGAGGCAAAAAGCTGGGAGATCAAAGCTGGAAATGAGGCAGAAAGAACTGAGGGAGAAAGCAGGGAAATCGAGGAGGAGAGTCAGGAGGTCAATAAGACAAAAACCCAGCTCGGGGTTTCAATATAACAAATTTATTAATCAGGCAGCACACTATACAGCCTCACGAAATTATTGGTGTGCGCGCGCGCGCACACACACACACACACACACACAGAATGGTAGCAGGAGTGGAAAAGCTTGGTGGAGGGATTAGAGTCAAGGTGTGTGGGGACTGAGTCCAGGTCCTTTGCTTGGGGAAGGAAGGTGGGTGATAGCTACCTATCCTGGACTGTGAATTGACCCTGATGGCTAGTCGGGGTCTTCTCCAACAAGGTATTGACCAGAGGGGGTCACTGGAAGGGCCTCTGGGTGGATATGTGGCGTGGTGTAGTGGTGGTCCAGATGGCGAGGGCGTCACAAAGAGATCACACTCTACCACCCCTTTTATAGCAGTGGGCTACCTGTGTCTCCTATGGGAAGGACATGTCCAAGCAAGGATAGTCCTGCTCAGATGCAGACGTGCAGATCCAGGTGTCCTCACTATCTGGTGGGACACAATGGTGGGTTGCTGGTTTGTGTAAGGTCTTTGTCTTCCAAATGTTAGGTTCCTATAGGTTCTTTATCTTTCAAATGCTGGGTCTTGTCTCTGTTTCTGGGTGAGGTCTGTAGTTTCTGGGTGAGTCAATGCAAGGCAATGGTCCAGTTGTTGAGTTGATTATTCAGTAGTGGCCTGCTCATTCATTCCCGTTCATCCAGGAACCAATTTCATAGATTTTCATAGATTTCATAGACATTTGGGCTGGAAGGGACCCTGGAGGATCATCAACTCCAATCCCCTGCCCCAGGAGCAGGAAGTCAGCAGGGATCATAGGATCCCAGCAAGATAAGCATCCAAATGTGTTTTTGAAGGCGTTCAAAGTGGGCTCTTGAACCGCCTCAGGTGGCAGTCTGTTCCAAACCTTGGGGGCTCCGACAATGAAGAAGTTCTTTCTTATGTCCAGCCTGAACCGGTCACAGTGGAGTTTGTGACCATTTGATCTTGTCGTCCCTTGGGGGGCTCTGGTGAACAGTTGTTCCCCCAGATCCTGATGAGCATCCCTGATAAGCTTATAGGTGGCCACCAGATCACCCCTGAGCCCTTTTCCAGGCTGATCACCCCTTTTCCAGGCTGAATAGCCCCATTGCTCTCAGCCTCTCATCATAAGGTCTGTTTTCCTGCCCTCTGATCATGCGCATGGCTCTCCTCTGCACCCTCTCAAGCTTCTCCACATCCTTTTTGAATTGCAGAGCCCAAATTTACATGATACTGGTTAGACATGAGTCACAGTTACAACCAACTATACAATAGGTTATACTCGGGCAGAGGACACAAGATGGAGGCTTGACATACAAAATGGAAATGTGATATTACTTGACATTACTTTACAGACACAGGCCTAAATCATATAAATTCAATATAAAACAGTAAAAATCAATACGAATATAATACCCCTGTTTACAATATAAAAGGGGCTTGCTACTATAAGGAAGTATAAGAACTTATCTTTGTTTACCTAGTACTATTTGTAATTACTTATAAGGAATAGAGAGGGCAGAGAGAAAGTCAGAAATGTTTGGGGAAGGGGAGGGAATGTATGCTTAAGTTTACAAAAAAAGAAAAACCTGTGGGGTTTGCTACAGCACTGCATGGGCCAAATTGGGGCAGCCCACAGCTTGCACTGCCTGCAGTGTTCACACTGGACTAGCCTCTCTCACTGGCTTCTGCATGCATATGATCCCCAGCAAATGGGGGACTTTGCTTGGGAGTTCATGGGGGAGGTTGTCAGGGGAGGGTTTGCTTGAAGAAAAAAAGAGAATTCTTTTCCTTTGACTTTTAGAGTTTAGGGTTTAAATTTTAAATTTGTTTAGTTAGGCTATGTTAAACACTGAATAGGACAGCTTTAGGTAAATAGAAAGCCAGGATGTATGTTCCTACTCCATAGGGAAGACTGAAACAAAAACACTAAAATAAAAAGAATGCAGGTAGAAGTTTAGCAGAAGGGTGGGACCCACCTAGCTTATTGCACTGAGTGCTGCATGGATGATTACCTCCCTTTGGGGCAGATTTCTTATGTGGGTATGTGATGCAAGGAGCTTCTGGCCTTGAGAAATTAGGTACATTCTCTCAAGACGGATGGCTGAACTTGAGCATCAAAGGGAAGCGGAGAGGGTCATAGAGGAGGCTTTCAGGGTTGAGCAGTCCCACCCCCTTAGCAGCTGGGAAGGATGAAAGTCTCAAGGAAGGAGGGAATCAAGCTAGGAAGGAAGGAAACAATCCTTTAGATGGCACCCACCCTGCAGTAAATATCATGGTATCCTCTTGCACCATGGTTACTCCTCTAGTTGGAAGGACCTCACAAGGTAGGAAGAAACAGGTAGCAATAGTGGCAGATTCTGTCATTGGGCATTTAGATAGCTGGATTTGTGACATCTAGGAGGACCACATGGTGACTTGCTTGCTGGTAGCAGATCTTATGAAATGTGCAGATAGGCTGCTACATAGTGCTTCGGAAGTGCCAGTGGTTGTGGTTCATGTGGGTACCAATGACATGGGAAAGTATAGCAGAGAGGTCCTGGAACCTAAACTTAGGCTGGTAGGAGGTTGAAGTCCAGGGCCACCACCATAGTGGAGTTACAGAGGAAATACGTACTGCAAATTTAAAAAAAAAAAAGTGGAAATCAGACCAAAAGAAAGCTAGCATGGTTTAATGGCAGAGTTGCAGAGGCAATGAACAGAAAAAGGCTTCTTTCAAAAGGCGACAGTCAAATCCTAATGAGTAAAATAAAAAAGAACACAAACTCTGGTAAATTGTAATAAGGCAAACTAAAAATGACTTTGAGGAGAAACTTGCTAGAGACCAAAAAGGTGACAATACATATTTCTTTAAATACATTAGGAGCTGAAGACCTACCATGGATTCAGTTGGCCTTTGCATGGTCAGGGTGTCAAAGGAGCGCTAGAGGATGATGAAGCCATTTCCAAGAAACTAAATATGTTCTTTGCATCTTTCTTCACTGTAAAAGATGTTATGAAGAGTTCCTCACCAGATCCATTCCTCCCTAGGAGCAAGTCTAGGGAGCTATCCGAATTGAAGTTTCAGTAGCTGAGGTTGTAGAGGAAATTGATAAACTAAACAATAGCAAATCACCAGGACCTCATGGCATTTACCCTAGGTTCCAGAAGGAGATCAGACTGGAAATTGGTAAACTCCTAACTGTAGTATGCAACCTATCACTAAAAATAGCCTTGGTGCCAGAGGACTGGAGGGTTGTCAGTGTGCCTCCAATATTTAAAGAGTGCCCTAGTACCAAGTACAGGAATATTAAGTAGCTAATATTCATAAACTGCATTTACGTGTTAATTTTCCTGTTTGTAAAAGGTACAAACTCATTAATATATGCATTGTTCTAACTTACATATTATTTAGTCTTTCTGAGAGTGGTTTAAACATTGTTTAATGTTCTATTATTTATCTTTTGTAGCCTGGACCAAAGTAGGGATTCTGTTACCTCATACCTTAAAGGAGAAGCTGGGAAGCTTGAAGCAAATGGGAGCCACACAGAATCAATAACAAATGCAAAGACTAAATCATATGTTCAAGAGTCTGTAAATGATGTGGGAAAACAGAGCAACAAAGAAACTGTGAAACCAAAACCCCAAAGTTCTGTCTGTGTAGAACAGCAAACATTACCATCCATAACCCAACAGAAATCTTTGGAAGAGGCCAGCAAACAAGCAGTAGATGAACCTAAAACATACATGCCTGTCAGCATGAAGATGAGCTGGACTACATCTGAAGATGGCAAGATGAGACCAAACATTCAGGAAGAGGAGGGAGCAGTAATGTCTGAACAAAAGGTATAGTATGTTCTGAAATAAATACCCTTCTAATTAAATACAGACTTTTTGCCATAAAGCCTTATATTGGAAGGTATAATAGTTACTAATTTTTCTCCTTCCATCTGTTCTATATCATTCCTTTACTAAAATAAAATAATGGAAAGTAGTAGTGGAAAGTTGAATCCTCAAGCCAAGACATATCAGAGCAAAGGGTAAAATAGTGTTGGGGGCAAAAAGGAGCCAAATTATAACTTCCTAATCTTCTGCCTGCCTGGTCCTAAGGCTCACCATACCTCCACTGTGATGTGCTAGTAGCTGATGTACTAGTAGCTGTGACAAGGATGCTGAATTAACCAGCTTCACTGGATCTGTGCCCATTGCCAAGTGCAGGTGGGTTCCACTGTTTTTGTGCCATCAAAACAAGCAGAGTGGGGCAAAGAATCTCTCTTCCCTCATTTCCAGGAAAATAAATATTTGGTTTCCTACAAATCTTCCAGATCTCTTCTGGAATTAATTTATTTCCATACTTTTTATACAACAGTGAAGATAAAAGTTGCTTGTATTTTTTCTTCTTTGATCTAAATCACTTATAATTAGTAGTTCATTGCTTAGTCTTGTGCATAGCAAGATACTTGAGAAGATGGGAAGAATTTCAGCTACAATACATCAGAAATAACAAAAAAAAGACATTAGTCTGAGTGGAAAAGTAGGTGGAAAAATGATGGCAGACAATTTTCATGCAAAAATGTGACTTAACATTGAGAATGAAAAGGGCAATTGAGAACGGGCTACACGATAGTAATGGGATTCAGTTGTTCATCTTTCAGTTTTAATTTCAGATTTTGTTACAGAGTATTCATGAATGTAGTGTGGCTATTTATTGGCTTGTATAGTAGAGGCCAGTGAACAGGTGGACACATCACATGCACTATTATCACATTTCCATTAACACCCACCCTTCCAGTTGACAAAGTCTTTAGAGAGCCCTCTGGAACATGGTTGAGACGCCTAGGCAGGGCAATGCTCAGTCAGCTTCCAGCCTGTTCCATCTTCTAAGAACAGACACTAGGGATGCCTCTTTCTCAAACCAGATTCAAATGATTTTCCTATTTTAAATAAAAAGGCAAAGAATGACTACACCATACTCTCTGTTAGAGTTCTGTAACAGTGTCTTGCCCAAATGGCAAGATTCCAGCTTGACTAAAAAAGGACAGTTCAAGCCTTCAGACAATGGCATTCACCAAGGGTAAGTCATACCTGACCAACCGGATTGTCTTCTTTGATGAGATAACTGGCTCCGTGAATACGAGGAAAGTGGTGCACATAATATACCTTAACTTTTGGAAGGTTTTAGATACTGTGTCTCACAGCATTATTGCAAGCAAGCTGAGGAAGTAAAAGTTGGATGAATGGACTGTAAGGTGGATAGAAAGCTGGCTGGATTTTTGGGCTGAACAGGTGATCAACAATGACTCAATGTCTAGCTGGCAGCCAGTATCAAGTGGAGTGCCCCATGGGTCAGTCCTGGGGCTGGTTTTGTTCACTGTCTTCATTAACAATCTGGAAGATGGGATGAATTGCAACTTCAGCAAGTTCAAGATTGACACCAAGCTGGGGGGGCGGGAGGGGCTGTAGTAGATACACTGGAGGGTAGGGCTAAGATTCAGAGTGACCGAAACACATTGGAGGATTGGACCAAAGCAAGTCTTCTGAGGCTCAACAAGGACAAAGGCAAAGTCCTGCACTTAGGATGGTAGAATCCCATGCACTGTTACAGGCTTGGGACCACCTGGCTAAGCAGCAGCTCCGAAGAAAAGGACCTGGAGGTTACAGTGGACAATAAGCTAGATACAAGTCAACAATGTGCCCTTGTTGCCAAGAAGGCTAACAGCATACTGGGCTGCATTAGTAGGTGTGTTGACAGTAGGTCTAGGGAAGTGATTATTCCTCTCTATTCAGCACTGGTGAGGCCACATTTGGAGTGTCCAGTTTTGGGGCCCCCATTATAGAAAGGATGTGGACAAGTTGGAAAGAATACAGTAGAGAACAACAAAAATGGTGTGGGGGCTGGGGCACATGACTTCTTAGGAGAGGCTGAAGGAGCTGGGTTTATTTAGTTTGGAGAAGAGAGGACTGAGAGGGGATTTGATAGCAGCCTTCAACTACCTGAAGGGTGGTTCGAAAGGGGATGGATCTAGACTGTTCTCAGTGGTGACAAATGATAGCACAAGGAGCAATGGACTCAAGTTGCAGCAAGGGAAGTTTAGGTTAGATATTAGGAGAGGGGTCGGCAACCCCTGGCACGTGTGCTGAGCATGGCACACGACCCATTTTGCTTGGCACGCCGTGGCCAGCCCTGGCTCTGGGTAGCTGCTGCCAATGACGGAGCCCAGGCTGCTTCCAGCAGGGCTTGCAGCATCCCAGGAGCAGCCCCGGCTCCCAGCTGGCAGCAGCTCCCCAGAGCTGGGGCTGGCTGTAGCCGGGAGGCTCCAAACAGCTGTGCCAGGCTCCAGCATCAGCTCCACACCAGTGCGTGCAGGCATGCCTCGGAGTGGGCAGTGGGAAAGGGGCCTGAGGCAATGGCAATGACTTCAAAATGGCAGTGGGGATGCTTTAACTAAAGCTCATTTGATTTTAGTTACCACCACCGTTTTGATTTATGGGATGCCAAATACACAAGATGCCGTGGGCTCTTTAATTAGAGAGGCTCTTTAATTAGAGACCGCTCTGGCTGTATTCATTTCCCTTGGAATATTTTTTTAGTCTCTTTAATGGGGCTTTTTTTATTATATAGATCAGGGCTGTCCAGTTTCAAGTGGAACCAGCAAGGGCTGGATGCTGTGGGAGCAGCACTAGCAGCATGCAGGGCCTATGGCCCCTGTTTACTCAGCACATACGTGTGGGTGGATGCTTCCCCCACCTCCCACTACACTGCATACACATGGGCAGGTGCTTCTTCATGACATGTCTTATCTTCAGTCCCACCTTGGTTTCTTGTTGGCACCACACTGCATGGACACCCGAAGCTGGCAGCTCCCCTAGAACTTCAGGTTGTGCCACATCATGCTGCCTCATCCCCTGGAGCGGGGGCATGCAGCAGAAGCCAGGGGAGGAAATGTGAACCCTGAGACCCCAGCTGCAGTTATAACCAGAGCAATAGGGACAGCAGCAGCCAAGTGGGAGCCCAGGGACTGCAAGTTATGTGACCTGTGTGCCAACCTTGATAAAGATCATTTTACAAATATTTCTTGTTGAATGCACGGAGCCGGATTCACAAAAAGAACAGAGTTTATTAGTAAATAATATTGCTGTTTCAGAATGTTAATCAGTATTTGCTTGGATATTTGGTTTATTTCTACATTCAGAAAAAAACTGGCCATTACAGGTCCAGATTTTCAGAACAGGGGTCATTCACACTCCTGCACTATGTGTGTAATTTCACTGGCTCAGATGCCCCTGTGCATGCTTCAGTAATTTTGCTAAGCCCAAAACCAGAAATGGTTTTTGCAGGCAGAGAAAGTGTTAGGTAAAGTGCAAACAAGATCAGATGCGCGCACACACACACACACACACACACACACACACACACAGTTTTCTGTTAGTGGCTGAAGATTTAATTTACAGTATTAATGTAATAATTTTTATATTTCTGCATTACTTCATTACTTTTCTGTAAGCACATAAAGTGTTTTGAATTAACCCTAAAAATATTAGTTGCAATTTAAAAGCTATTAAATACTGAATAGAAAAGTCATTTACTCAATATAATTCTACAAAGAAGCAATGGACTGTGTTAACTCCTTTGTGGATTTTGACCACTTTTTCATTCTTAATTGACTGTTTGATCCTGAGTATTCAGGAGTTAATTCAAATGATAACTCACAAATCAACAAGTTTCATTCCACCCTATCCAATTCTGGAGATTCAGGTTCCTATAGAGGGCCCTGACTCAGTGCTCACAAAAATCTTTGGCAAGACAGCCATGGACACTGGAATTAATCTAAAATTCAAAAACCATGAGCTGTTTGCTTCTTTGAGCAGGAAAAAGAGGAAAAATCTCTAACAGAGTACTAGATGTTTAGCATAGATTATACTTACACAGCTAAATTGGGGGCAAAATATTACAAGCAGTGTCAGCATGCAGTTTGTTTTTCTTTCATCCAGATTTGGAAATGGTATAATTATATGGAGGATGTGTGTGATTTACCTGGGAAGATAAATGTTGGGTACTGATTTTATTTGTCTATTGTGAAAAAAGCGTTTAAGATATTTAAGCTTTTAAGATATTTCATGGGTGACAAAGAGCAGAGGAGCCCTTACAGTAAACTAAAGGTCAGAATTGTAGGTACCACCTATATGTTACATACAGGATAAATTAATTTATGTTATAATTTTATTTTTCTTTCTGTGTTCCTGCTGAGAATGTTTTGTCTTTTAAATGTGTGCTATTAAAATATATTAAAACTGCATTTATCAGGAATTTAGTGACAGTGACATTGAGGTTCAGAGTGAGTCAAGCTCAGATGAAGAACAGAGAATCACAACAAGAGTTTATCGTCGGCGTTTGATTCTGAAGGTATCCTGTGGTTTTAGTTCCAGCTATACCATTAGCATGGACTTGGGCCTGAACTTGTGTTAATAATGTCACTGCTGGATATATTAAACTGCCTCCAGTAGTGTGCTTTCCATTACTGTTATGTATTTATAACTAAACTGTTAGGCAATCTTTCTTTGCTTACTCTCCAGGTTTATGTTTGCCTTCTGGTAGGAAACAACCACATTGTGGATGCATCTATGCATGCACCATTACTGAGCAGTAACTTAGGTAACTGAAAATTACTGTGCAGTACGGGCGCATATCTACATGTGCACACCCATACTGTGCAGTAACTATGGTGACTTATGCTGACTCAGGAGTAAATTTGTTACCTGCATAAAAAATTTGCAGGTAGCAAATTTACTCCCACGTACTTACTGTGCAGTAAGGCACATGTAGACGCCTTACTGTGCACTAACCCTGTTTGTGTGGACTCACTTGGGAGTAACTTTACTCCTAAATTGCTGCACACACAGTGTTACTGTGCTGCAGTGGCAGTTAGACACTAAAAACCACTTACAGTAAGTTACTGCACAGTAAATGCACATGTAGATATTCCCTGTGTGTCTTGTAGTGTCATTGTATTCTGCATGGCATGATAAATATGCAGTGAATTTGCAGTGTGACATATAATTGTATGAAAATACAGCTAACTGTAATAAAACTCCTTTGGGGTTTATGACCACTGTTCAAGTGTGTCTAATATGGATCACAGTATAACTAACTGCACGTAAGATGTATATGGTATTAAATATTTTGATTTATCTTTCTTTTGATTTGATAAATTATTAGTTATGAATATCCACCAACATTTGAGAATGGGTATTATGAGGCTAAAACCCACTAACTTTTGATGTAACTTGTAATGTAAAATCATAGTTTCATAGTTGGTAGGGTCGGAAGGGACCTGAGCAGATCATCAAGTCCGACCCCCTGCCGTGGCAGGAAAAAGTACTGGGGTCAAAGGACCCCAGCAAGGTG